CCCTTTGCAGCAATAAGACGACTAGCCCAGAGACCCCTCCATGAGCTTTCTACATTTCTGCAGATGATTGGACAAAAGTAACCATATGATTAAAAGCTTTACTGGGTCAAAGAGATTAAGTCATTTACAAGTCAGAAATGCAGTGTCAGTGGTAATGAACTACAGGCATTTGATAGTAAAGTTATCTACGAAGTGCTTTTTAGTCACATTCCACATGCCTGTTCCAGACTATGGATTCTTTTCAGCAACAACATAATTTCTAACATAATCTTTTTGAAGGTGTTTTGTTAGTGGGTTTTTCTTTCATTTTAAACATGCAAGACACGGAAAGGTTTCATTTCAGATGGGAAAGTTATTATTTTTGATGAAAGCAATCCAGGGCAACTGTATGTTCTGCACCAGCTGCCTCTCTTCTCCTTAAATGCCACGTGGAAGAAGATAAGAGTCTGCCTGTTCTGCCCATCCTAGGCATTGGAGCAGGGATTTTACAGAGTAATTAATTTATTTAAAGAATGGACAAATGTATAGCTATAGTCACAGGAATGAAATGGGAAAACATGTCAATTGAGCTCTGAAACGGTCTCATTTCTGAGGCCCTTTATTATACTTCTGGCAAGATAAAAAAATCAGCATCTCTATTAACAGCTTCAGCAGAGAAACCAGCATCTGAATTAGTTAAGGATGGCTCTAATCTCATTTCTCCACACTGAATCACTCTCCAACAAGGTGGAAATGAAGATGCAGTAAAAAAGTTTGCACCCTTCACAGGTCAGCAGCCCCACCTCTCCCCAGCCCATTCCTCTTTGGAGGATCAGGGGAAGAAAACATCAGGTTTGAATGCTATCAGGTGGCATTTCTAAAGGATACCAAAAACACCTGTACAAAACACAAAAGCTATCACCCACCCTCTTCCACATAATCACCAATGCACCCTGATCTAGGACTTTCAGATGTACTGTACACTAAATCAAAAAGAGAAAACAAAAGTTATCTCTTAGGCTTTTCAGGCATGGTATTGCCTCCTTCTTAAATTACTGATTTCAAAACAGACTGGAGTAAATAAATGTTCACAGCAACCTCAGCTGCCAGAGCTGAAGTGGGATAAAGAAATGTATGAACAGCACCACATCGGGTATTCCAATGATACATGTCCACAAAGTCCTCTTTAATTCCTAAAACTACCTCTATGCTTCAGTGCAAGTATTCTTTTTTTCTATTTTAATTTTAGATTTAAAAGGCTGCAACCAGAATATTTTCTTTAAATCGCTGGATTACCAAACAAGAAAATAAGCAGCTAGATTTAGCTTAACAAGCCCTTATCATGAATTCAGATAAATCAAAACTGTATTTTTATATGCATCAACAAAAAAAAGGATGAAAGAATAGATCAATAAGTTAGTGACTCCCACTTTTTTTTTGTATAATACACTGTAATAGTGCTAAGGTAAACACTTTCTGGTTAAAACAAATAGATAAAGGAGTATCATATTCCTAGTAGTAAAATAGTAGCTCCTAAAACACTTTTCTGGGAGGGCAAAGAGAGACAAAGGAGGAGGGAGAGTAGGCTCTCCAGGCAAAAGCAGCAGTATTCGATTTCTTGAAGTTTGCTTGAAAACACATTCTCTATAGATAAGAGGGTTGATTTTAGTGTTCATATTATGATTTGCTCTTTACTTAGCAAAAAGAATGACAGGACTTCTCAACACTTCAGTTGTGCCAGAAATTAACACAAGTTTTCAGGACTCAAAATCAGAAGGTGGAGAGAAAAAAAACCCCAAGCCATCCCCTCACCCCTGCAACAATTAACTATTGCCACACAGGAAGGAAGTAATTCATAGGCAGCTGCAGTTCAAAGTCAGGATTGTATTGGAGAGTCCATATTGTGTATTCCTAAAGGCAAGTCACATGCCAAATACTAGAAATAAAGCATAGGTTTTCAGACTTTGTTTCCTATGTATGTATTTCAAAAGGGAATTTCAAATGCTTCTGCACCATTTGCATCTTAAAACTTCCCGTAGATGACTGATATTATACTTACCCCTAACACACCTCCTCTTCAGAGTTACTATTTACAGATTCTGACAGTAATTCAGATCATTCAGTTTCAGTCATAAGCATCAGGTTTGTGACAATGGTCAACTTTTGCTAGAATAGCTTCATGTGCAAACAAGTCATTGCAGATTCGCCTGCTTTTGGTGAAGGAAACATAGCAGGAGCAATGTATGCTTCACACAGCATACATTGAAGGACATGTTTCAAGTGTCAAGAGAAATACACAACAAAATCCGTAACAGCACCAGTAATAAATCACAAAGATCAAATGCCGTTTTCCTGAGAACTCTAAAGAAACTGAAGGAAGCGGAGAAATTAAATATAGCATCTAACCTCCAGAGCAGCAGAAAGCAGCAGATGTGGTCCCTTAGCAAAGATTGTAGAGGGATCTATTGGGCTGAAGCTACAGACCAGTGGTTCTGACATCCACACTGAACAAAGGGATAAAAATGTAATAACGAGTATCAAGAGTGAGGACCTTGCAGAAAAGCCAGCACAGCTTTTGTGGGAAGGTGTAGGGGAAATCTTGCCCCTACACCTATTCAAGTTTTTTGGTAAGTCAACAAGCGTACACGAAAGACAACTATCTCTAGGTGGATTTGACCGCACACAGCCATTTTCACAGCTGTTTTCATAGCTGCTCAGCAGCAATTATTCTGTGCATGACTTTACCTCAGTAAATAGTAACTCACTAAAAATACCAAAATACCAAAAAACCAAAACAAAAAAACGAAACAAAAAACCCAACCAACCAACCAAAATACACACCCAAGCCCCAAGAAGCTCTCTGTCATCACAAGATATTTCTAGGCAGTGATTATATGCTAGGCTTGTACTGTGTGCAACTGGCCATGTTATTCAAGGGGGACTAACTGCAAATTAACAGTCCTTGCTAACACCTTTTGTAAAGAATTGAGCAAAAGCAGAACTGACAAATGCTAAAATTAACCCCAGGAAAGGAAAGACAACAAAATCCAAACAGAGCTTTTTTCTTCTGCCAAACACCTAAAGATCTAATCAGAAATATCTAAATAATAATCTTGCTGCTTGAATATTATTACCATTATAGCATGTTATTTGGAAAACATTTGATCATATTCCAAAACACAATACTCTGACAAGCTGGTAAACACAATATAGACAGACTAAATTTGTAACTGGTACAGTAACAAACCATACAAACAGCCTAGATGTATCTTGAGTGACTGTATTTAAGGTTTTATGCATAAAGTCTCAAATGTATTTTATGTACATTGGGTTTCATTTTTAAGTAACTTTTTGACATTTGGATTCTGCCCCAGTCTCCCTCATAGCCAAAAAAATAAAAACAAAATTGGAAGAGTAAACATTACAATTAATGCAAAGTTAAGAGATTCGTGCAGTTGGCTTTCAAGCACCGCCTCTGACTTCACATTCAAACTGAATCTCTTATTTTGGGTCTTTACCTGGAGAGAACAATTTTAAGAATCCCTTTGCTAATTTTATGAGGCTCTTGTAATCCCTGGTGCAGCTTGTGCCAGAAGACACCAATCCAGAGCAACCCATCTTGAGTCCCATCTCCCTTTCCACAAAATGTCTTCTTACCCTACACATGTCCCTAGCCCTTCCCTCCTCCAGCAGCAGCCCTCACCAGCTGCCCCTGTGAGTTATTCAGGGCATCGGGCTGTAGCTGTGTGGTTGGATTCTGCCAGCCCAGGGCCCTGGATCATGTCACCCAATGGGTCAGAAGAGCTTCAGTGCCAGCATGTCAGAGAGGTGGGAACACACAGCCTGAAGAGGGCAGGGCAGGATTACAGCAGCACCAGGTAGATCAGTTTGAGCTATGGTGGAAATGCAAACCACATACAGCAATGACGGAGAGAGTTCAGTAAACTGCCCAGGAAGATCAAAGAAAACCTTTCAACACCCGCCTGGACACGTTCCTGTGTAACCTTATCTAGGTGTTCCTGCTCCGGCAGGGGGATTGGACTAGATGATCTTTTGAGGTCCCTTCCAATCTCTAACATACTGTGATACTGTGATACTGTGAAGTGTCACATAATATACATATATATGTATGTATGTATGTATGTATAAACTGTGCTGCTTTTAACATTTACATTTGTAAAAAAAAAGCAGCAGGGAAAACAGAGCGCATGAGCAGGAAGGAGTGAATGTATGTGTGTAGGGATGCAAAACAAAGTTTAGAGTGGAGCAGGCTGTAGTTAACACATTTACTTATAAAAAGAGTGTTCATATTTCACACTGGAAACCAAGTACTTATTAGCAAGAGACAGAATTACAGTATAAAAAAATAAAACTTTACATTTATTCAATCTGAAAGTTTTAAAGCTGTTCCAGAGTTCAAGGATTCCAGGTTGAGAGAAATGCAACACAGTAAAGAATCGTAACTATTTTATAAATACAGGGAAAATATAGAGGTAACAAAAGATACAGTAAAGGATACTTCTGGTGTTTGGTCATCTCACCAACCCCAAGGACCCTGTGATGACGATCAGGAAACCAGCTCTGAGGATCCTCATTGCAGTGCAGGGTGGCAGGCTCAACCTTGGTGGGTGTCCCCGGGGAGCCAACACTGACCTGGGTGGTATGAGGGTCTGCCTCCTCGCATCGCTTGGGGCTCGAGCTTTTATACTAACGAAAATGCATGTGCATTCTGATGCAGGAGGCCAGCCTACGTCGGAAGAAGTGGCCAGCAGTATCTAGAAAGGCCTCTGGGGGTAGGGACTTTTCTGGGGATGAGCCAAAGTGGGACCTTCTGGGGAGGAGCCAAAGTGGGCTTTGGGCCTACATACTAGACTAGACATCAAGACCTACAGCTGCAAAACATTATATACTTAGGAACCTGCATAACAGAAGGAAAAATAAACCAAAAGTTTGAATCAGTAGAATCATATAGAAGGGAAAACCGCTTTTTCCACCCATTAAAAACCACATACAACTCTGCCGAGACAGAAAAAATTTATTGGTCCTCTGGATTTCCAGTGATTGTTTGCATTATGTTTAGCAAATTCATTCAAATATTACATACGAATATATCTTCTCTTCATTTGCAACGTTAGAGCTAGCTTAATGTTCAGTGGAAATGGAAGGAATTAATGCAAAAAAAAGATAATCTTCAAATTGTTAGTGAAATACATGATTATTTTTTTCTTACTTCAGCAGAATACTTGCAAAGAACCGCGTTCTGTGCTCACTACCCATCTTCCATGAATATGACTCTCACATATCACAGAAGGCACTTGAAATTCCTTGAAGTTGGGATGGCAGGAGGAGGAGGGATCAGCTATCACTTGGGTAACAATACACTCATTTTTAGTAAGTGCAATACTAGTACAAATTCAAACAGCCAGAAAGCATTAAGATACAAAAACGTAGCTAAACATGCTAACTGAAGGGCTGCGAAGCTGGAGTACAACAAATCCTTCATGTTACTGCCACCATTACTCATCATCTCCACCACAAAGGAGCAGCAGTGCTTTCCTGTAGTCCCCAGACGTATCTTTCTGTTAATGTAACAGACCAGTCACCATGAGTCACAACCACAGAAATGGGAAGAAAAGCAGCGGCCAGCGTTTGCCCCACCCACAGGAAATGCACTTGGATGACTCTCCTCCAGTCAGGAATCACACAAGGAAATTCTTTGTCTCTTACGTTAGAGCTGTATTTACACAGTCAGACTTTAAGAAACACAAAAAACATCCGAAAGCTTTACTAGAACTGAATTACCCATTGCATATTACAATGTGTTCCTCTGCAAGTGAGAAAGTCCAAAGGAGAAGTTGAAAGCAAGCACCAAAAGCAGCAACCTTTAAATGTGCCAAGTGCACCTCCCATCACTGGAAAGGCCCTAGCCCTGCTCCCTGTAATTGATGAGCAGCTTTGCTACAGACCCCATGGACAGCTGTATTGGCCCAACCAACAGTGTCAAAAGCAATTAAGACAAAATAATGTCAGGAATGATAACATAAAATCCTAAAAAGCAGCACGCACACACACACACACACACACACACACACACACACAAAACAAACCCAAAACCAAAATCCAGCAAAATGCCCCCCAAAAACCTAGGAAATAAATGTATTTTGGCTTCAACCTTGCAGCAACAGCTGCCTCTGGATTTCTTACTGGCTCTTTCCCTTCCTGCTCCCTCTACCCACTCAAAGGAGACTTATGATTCAGAGAGATTCCACAGTAAACTGCTTTCCACTTTGAAATGGTGCAAAAGGTTCCACACCGCAATCCAAGATTTAAACTTCAACCTTGTGGTAATTCAGACTCCAAACCCCAATATTATTTATTTGTAGCCAGTGTCTCCTCTAATTGAAAATCAGAAGGAACCCAGACAAGAAAAAGGAAATGAAGCAGTAGCTAAAAATGGTGTATGAGTAATTGTAATTTCAGAAAACCACAGCTGCTCTCCTAATGAACACTGGAAACAAAGCTTTAGCTTTCCATAGGAAGTATCCCCCACTTAAATGACATGGGTACTTCACAAAACTGCAGAACAACCACCACTCCTCTCAGAGTGTATGTGTACTGTTCACATCTGCCCCCTCCCATAACAATAAAGTGGAAACAATGACATCTCAGTCACCCCTGTTTTCCCTGACAATGGAACAGTCATTTTACCTGAATCATTTGATGCAGTGATTTTGCAAAATTCTTTCTCAATTCTTGTCTAATATCCAACAGATCAATTTCACTCCTTGAAACCATGACTCTGATCAAGGTATCATCATCAGTGCCAGCCCCCTAAACAGAAAAGTTTAAATAATATTAAAAGTGGAGTTTGTTCTAGAGAGATGCTCTAACAAAACAACACATACAAACAACTAGGGTACAACACGGATGCACCAAGTGCAACAAGTGGTGTCTCAAAACACTCCTGCATTACATTTCTGTTCCAAAACAGAGGGTATCTGGGACATTCACACTTTTCATACTGCAGTGTGGAGAACAGTGGACTAGCCATGCAAGGTGCTCTAGTTCCTGGACTTCTATGAAGTACCATATGGTCAGACATCTTATTTCATATTACATCTCACAGGCTTCACTGTGAATGCCCATATAAATTTAAGATAACCAAGTTCCAAGAATACACAGTAGTACAGACCATCACCACATGCAAATCACTCCTTAAACATAGTCCGAGGCTCAGAATTTCAGTCAGTTCTGGAGTTGGGTACATAAACCCTAACAATGACTAATACAAACCATGTAACATCATATAACAAGACACAGGCAGTGCAACTCATTCCACAACTTATCCAGCTGATTAATTATGAAGGCAAACTTCATAAACCTTTTCCAACCACGCAGATACGCCCCACTCTTACCTAACTTTATCGCTTTAAACATTTTCAAGTTCTGTGTTGGCAGGCTATGCCAGATAACATCCCAACCCCTCCTGTGCAGACAAGTCAGACTCCACACAAGCTGAAGTGATACGAACTTTCACATGCTGACCTGCTAATGCACCTGAAGAAAGGACTTGGCAGAGTCCCCACGATCATCTTCAGCCTAAAAGTCCACGGTCATTCAATCCTTCGACTGGATGTAATATTCTTGAATTACATCTAAAAATGCCCTAAAGCTGCTCAAAAGTTACGCCATGAGTCCGATGGTTTCCGATTAGGAGTTGACATTAGAATTCAGTAAAGTCAGGCTCTGCCACACCCAATCATGAAAGTAAACTGCTCATTGTAGAACTTTGTCATGCCAAACTGGTTAATTAGAAGTACAAACTCTTCTGCCAATGCAATAATTGATTAAGATCTTTCTTATCTGAAGTGGTCAATGATTTTCATTTATATTAAAAATAAAACAAATTGAGGATCTCACCAGCAGACATTAATCAGACCTCTTGTAATAGAAGTGTACAAGAGTCTAAAACCTAAAGGAAAATATCTTGTATCGCATTCTTTAAAAAATAAAAATTAATAAATAGGTAAGAAAAAAGTAATCCTCCTCATTCAGCTTAGCATACTGGTATAGTATTTGGTGATTTCCACCTGAACCTTATTTTACATTGGTCTCTATAAAAGCAGCAAAGCAGCTTTTAAACATTAAGCTATCATTTAAATTCTTTCGTACTTATTCTCATGCTGACACCTCAACGCAACCATATGGTGACAAACACAATTCAGGGCTTTTCAGCAAGGGGAAGGGAGGAACTCTTCATGGAATCTGATAATCTGCCTGAAAACAATAGACTACCTACCTTGGTTTTAATTAATATTAGCCATTGTGAGTTAAAAATGCAGTTTCCCCTGCTTCCCCTCCTCTTCCCATTCAAGAGGAGGCAAAGCCAACAGAAACACAGCTGCATTATTGAAGGGATTCCCCTGCAGAATCACTTGTAGCTACTTAACCCTCTCTCCTTTTTTTCTAAAGAGTTTCTTTTTCTTCTCAAAATGGGATGGAGAGTCATCAAAATGTGTTTGAAAGTTAACTACACCTTATCTCCAAAACAAGTAGCACTAAATCTGCACAACCTACAATATAATTTTTGGTCATCTTTACTTCTTTAATATATCAACCACCTACACAGAATACCATAGTCTTTATACAGAACACTGTAGTCTTCATTTAGCTGAAAGTTCCCAGTGGATCTAGCCTGACATTTTCCAATGGAACAAGACCAGGTCCAAAAATAGCTGATAAGACTGGTATTTCCTGTAAAGCATTCATAGTCTGATGAATTTATGAATCTTTTGTATCCTCTCCCAGATCTGCATTCCCCAAACTTTTTGCAGACACCTAGTGTATGCTGTTGGCATTTACAGTGAAAGAAGAAATGAAGAACAAGCAAAAGGGAGAGGATTTGTAGCTGGCAGAGATGGAAAGATGAATGGAAAACATGTACCTACCTTCATGGAATAATACAGAGTCTCAGCAAAATAGGCAGGTACGCTTCGAATGCATTTCACTGAGAGAAGGCAAAGGATTAAATTACTGACTGCTTTTCAACACAATCTTTTGCTGTCAAGACAAGGTGTGTGTTACTGCATCATTCACTCCAGTGTGGACAATAAAGTAGAGAGCTTTCAGCTAGTCTGTTCCTCTTTGGGTTCCAGGAGTTAGAATGCATCACGTATTGCTAATGGAAAAGAGACTTTGCTAGTCAAATTCTACTCCCAGTTACAAGTCTACTATTACATTGTCCTAAGCACAATGCCAGGAATACAAAGGCAGTTTCGTCTCACTTTCTGACAGTGGTGCACATGACCACACAGACCACTGTTCACCACCACTTCCTGATCCACTTATCCCTGCCTCCTCCATCTATTAAAGGCAAAATAAAGGCCTGTTCTCTAGATCAAAATGGATCTCAGGTGATTAACTGTAAAAAATAAACCATGTTTTCATGCCACTGCCTACAACACCTGCAGTGTAAAGAGGCCTGGGAATCATGAAGAAGGCCAGTTCTAGATCTAGATTAAGACTTTATTACCAACTGCCAAGAGCAGCTTCTCCAAATCACCAGAGGTTTCACGGTCAATGGTCTCTTCAATTTGAAAGCCGCTAATAGTCATGTATTTGTCAAACACTGCAAAACAGAAAGTGTGCTTAGTCCCCTGTATAGCCAGCATTTCTCCCAGTATCATCCCCAGTACAAGAGAATGCTACCTTTATCTCCTTATCCACAGTTCAGATGCTCTCATCCACTCATTATTACTTCTGTTCTATTTTTAATACCTATTTCCTACCATATTCCTACTATACAACACAATCCTGTACCTGGGGAGGAACCCTGTGTACCAGTACTTGCTGGAGGTCAACCAGCTGGAAAGCAGCTTTGCAGAAAAATTGCTGGGGGTCCTGGTGGGCACCAAGTTGAATGTGAGCTTGCAGCATGCCAGTGTGGCAAAGGCAGCAAATGGAATCCTGGGTGTATTAGGAGAAGCACTGCCAGCAAGTGAGGAAGGTAATCCTTTCCCTTCTGCTCAGCACTGGTGAGGCTACACCTGAAGTTTTGGGCCCCTCAGGTTAAAAGAGATACGGAGCAACTGAAGCAAGTCCAGTGAAAGGAGATTAAGATGATTAAGGAAATGGAACATTTCTCCTATGAAAAAAGGCTGAGATAGCTGGGGCTGTTCAGCCTGGAGAATACCAGTTTGGAAAGGACATCAAAACATACCTTGTCATTATTTCCAATGGCCTAAACAGCTTGATAAAACAGGTTTATGACTGGGTAAGGAACAGGGAAAAAAAATGTTTCTATTGACAGCTAATAAAATATAAAAGGGTCGATCCTGTCATGGCTGGATGACTCACAACAGACTCTCAGCATCGCTTCTGTTGCCATGACCTCTTTCAAAAGAAAAAAAAATAAATAGAAAAAACCACCCCAGGTGTCCCTCAGATCTACTGCGCTACTCCTTTCAGCAGGAGATAACCATGGCTAGTGGAGAGCTGAACTACAGAGGACAAAATTAAATGCATAAAGTATGGGAAAAAGGCAATTAAAGATTTCTAGTCTTCACAAATGCAGTACCAGAAACAACTTCTCTACCATTTCTACCCCCAGCTGAGTAATACTGAGACTTCAGGCAAAAGTTTTCAAGCACACATGAACCACACTACCTACCCCTCCTTAAATGAGAAACGCTTCGGGTTCCCAAGATGGTGATGAATTTTTCTTCATCTGTTCCCCATTTCAGCTCCCCAGCTCTAAACAAAACCTGTTGTAAATTCCAAAGATCAAAGCTGCAGGATTTGTTATGCATCCACACACCCTGTCAAAAAGCTCTATTTGTCTCACTCTGAGGAGAATTAAACTTACCAACAAGCGATAGCTGGGGTGTGTGCAAAACAACCAAAAACCAGAATTGCCAAGTACTGAACTGACTTTTGAAAGCAGTAAATGATAAATTCTAAAATTGATTGTGAAAGCCTTTATATGAGTAATACTGCTTAAGGCGCTAAAATTGACTATGTGTATAGTCCCCTTCATAAGCTTGAAGTTTTCTTAAACTGATAATACAGGAGAAAATTCATTCTCAATATTGTTCTTCCTGCCCTTTTAATTTTTCCTTCCACTTTTTCAAATCAGACTAGCAAAACTTCATGACTCCTAGCAATGGGAGAACCAAGCTAACTTGGCTCAAAAGGAAGTTTTCAAAAAATGACAGGAAGATGTATTTACAAACTCTTGGAAATTAATTTGTAGGCTGCTAAATTCATAGTCATACAAAACCAAATTTTAATTATTTAATCATTTTAACAGATTCATTGCTCTTCAGGCAAGTCTTTCTACAATGTAACGACCAGGCCATTAGCAGCACTCAGGAAAGTAATGCACTTCTAAAAGCTGGAATGAGCAACAGGAGGGGTGAAAGGGAATCCAAAAAAAAAAAAAACACCCACAGAAAATGAGATTAGTTCCTTTTCCTGACACTCAGAAGCATTTTTCCCAATTGTGTGCTAAACACCATGTAAGGAGAAAGATTTTGTCCCTATTCTCCCTCCTCAGTGCACAGAAGACAGGCAAACAGGTCATCACCTACCTATACTCAAGCAATGAAAATATTTCTTAGGAAAATCCCACAAACAAAATCTGCTGCACAGCACTGCTGCTGGCCCTCTGTCTGTCCATGCTGTAAAACCTGAATGGGATGTTAAGGAATTTCCTATTTATATTTGTCCCACCATCCTATTCAAATCAAATTGCTGACTGCTGCTTCCTCTATTTCATATTAATGGTACAGGCTACAGAAAGGGGGAAGGAAAAGCTACTAAGACATTGCAAGGATATTTAATTCAAATAATATATGCTAAGATCTTCAAATTAGTATCAGCACTCTCCATCCAATAGCAAATGTTCCAGCACAGCATTTAGAAACACCAGTAATGCATTTCTTTATAAATGCCAGAAGTTGTGAATGACATTTTGTGCAAGCTCTAAGCTTTTACCTGCCTTGCTGCTGTGCAATACCCAAAATACATGTCAACTGCATGAATTTTTAAAGCAATATTCCAAAAACCTCTTCTGAAAAGTTGAATTTTCTCTTACAAGCATTCTCAGAACAGTCTTGCAAGTTCCATGCATATTCACGCTATCTCGTACTATGAATGCCCATTCTCCAACTGCTTTGAATTCACTTTTAATAATCATAGATAAAAAAAAAAATAGAAGTCACTACTGAGCACAAAGGTTGCCCTCTAATATATCAGATCCTTCCCAGAATATCATATTAATCAAGAGAGACACTGGGAAGTCAAAAACAGTCTTACATTTGCACAGTCATGTACCTCAATTCTGATCATCTATACCTGGCAATAGGAATTACAAAATTACCTGAATCTGTTCCAGCTATGCTGGCTGTTGAATGCAGAAATACCAATCAAAAGTACCGTGACAGAAGACCTCTCTTTTTGGGTCCCAGCTCAAGCCAAATGCACATAACAAACCACAGAGACCATTTAGAAAACCAGGCTTTCTCAACATTAAGGTATGGTGCTTCCTAAATTTACATGCTCATTGAAACTCAATTAAAGAGGCCAAAAGGAATCTGTCTACCTACCAAGGCCAGTGGTTCACAGGTTTCCTCAATTATGTATGCCCAGCTATACACAAGACTGACACATTTTCATGAAACACTCCATGATGCAAATATTTGCCTCACTAATTTTCAAACTCCAATTTCCACAATTATTTGTAATAGCAGGATAACAATGTTTTCTGAATTGACATAAAAAAGGATAGGCTATGACAGTAAAATGCATTTTGCCAGTCTGTCTCTTCATCTTGCCCTGCTAACAGGAAAATGCTTTACTGATCTGGTATTCTGCTTTTTCTCCTTGTCACCTTCAACAATCCATAGATTTTCTTTCACTTCAACTGACAATCTATGAGAGGAAAATGTCTATCCCAGAGTTATCTGAAATAACTGAGAAGAAACATCCATTACGTGAGTTCTGCAATCAAGTTGCTGAAATATTGACTGTTGCTACAACTAACAGAGCCAACAGCATCCATCAAGAGACCGCATCAAGGGTGCCAATTAACTGCTGGTATTCCTCTTCTTGTGGAACACAGGCTTAGTGATCAGTGGCAACATCACGGACAATGTTTGCAAAAGGGAATACCAGGGTCCCCAGAAACCCTTTAAAGGCAATTCATAGGCTTCCATCGGATTACAGTAAAGCAGAACGTTTGGTATATTTCCTCTTTTTAGTATGCCAACCTCTATGGAGGCATCCCTCACTGAATAGCATTAATATTTCCCTATAACACATATATGACACGATACATACGGATTGAATTCTGACAGAAATTCAAGTCAGACATTAAGGAATGAACCATTAATATCTCTGAGTTTTCCAGCAGTGAGTCTCTTAACATCACAAAACCTCAGCAACCACAACTGTGTTCCAGAGAGCTAATCACTGTTCCATTCAGGTACCTCATCAAGTAATAAGAAAAACAAGACAAACTTTACATAGTAAAGTCAAAGTGCCAAAAATCTTGATACCAATGTTTCAGGTTTTGACACTCGTTTTGTTCACAGGATTTATAAAAAAAAACCCCAGGAGAATGTATTAAGCAGCATACACAATGAACCTTAGCAGTATCTCTGTCACATCTGAAGTTCAGCTCTATATTCTCTTTGCAAGATAACTTTTATAAATGCCCCCAGGCCCAAGACATTCACCCACCTGAGCATCCTGCTCAACAAGACTCTCATTGATGCTGCCATCAGGATCTCTATTTGCCTAAAGAAAATTTTTAAAACTTGTTAAACTGAAGAATCAAAAGTTGAATCAAAAAACAACTTATCTGTTATACTGAGCCTTTAAGAGGAACTGTGAGAAGTCAACCCCTAATACATCTCCAAAATCACCTTATTTTTCCCTTCTGCTTATGTATGTCCTCAGCAAACAAAAGTTCTCTTCTCCTATTGCTTTCAAAACCCAACACAACAGGCATTCTGCTATACCTGTGAGTAGTACAGAAGTCTCTCAATTCAGCAGATGTGGAAATGACTCATAACAGCTTAAAACTGACCCTGTAAGTCAGAAGTGACCCAGTTTCAGAACTGACTCTGCCTATCACCAAATCTATCTAGAATCCCAGCTTAATGAGCGGAAAGTGACAAATGTACATCAGACAGGAAAACAGAAGTGAAACACATACATACATGCCCATATACAAAGAGATACTGACCTGCAGCAGAACCACCAGCAGTCTCTGAAAATAGCCTGATGTTTCTCCTGTGATCTTATCCTCCAGGTTGGCCTCATACTCTGCAAAAGAGCAATACCCATTCACCACCTTACAGACTTCCTCACTATTTTGAGGAGAAAGCAAGGAAAAGCAAAACAAAATCCCACTTATTGAACACATCCACCAGTTACAGACAGACCTTATTTGAAAGATGAACTAAAATCTTATTAGGAGAACTGAACAGGGACCCTGGAACTTTACTTCATACAGAACTTTACCTTGCAGATAAACCTGTTTAATGTTCCTCACTTCTGCAGGTGTTCTGGAGGCCAGAATTTCAGTCAACACTTTCTCATTGGTTCCTGCTCCCTGCAGGGGTGTAAGTATAAATCAGTTGATAGAACAACAAAAGGAAAAGAAGAATTCCCTTTGATAACCAAAAGCAAGCATAAGCTTGGACCAAAGAAAGAAAAACTGTTTTCTTCTTTCTGGTATATTATGGGGGATTTTGAAAGAATTTCTTCCACTCCCAGCTTGGTTGTTTCAAAACCAACCCAACAGTTGGTTGGCTCACTGCTGCAAGATTCAAATGAGCCCTTCCATGCTCAAGTAAACCCAGATATGGCTCAGTTCTTCACTATTACAGTCAATGACATCAAGCTAAGTGCATGAACAGACTAACAGTCTCCATCTTAGCTCTAGTTCATATACTGTCTTTCATCAACTAGTATACAAACAGAGCCTTCCATGAATTGTGGTATGTTAAACCCACGCTCTCTTCCACTGCAAACAAACACATTTTACAATAGAATTGCTAACCCAGACAGTTCAAGCTGCTGCACTCATTCCAGCAAACATAACAGGCACTCTTCACTCTTACAAGGATAAGATTTAAGAAAGCCAAACAAATATCTTGTTTCCACAAGTCTGAGTCTTTGCCTGTAAGAATAAGCTATTGCTCTTTGCACTTCCAAAGGAGCAGTTTCAAAAAGCAATACTGAAATACAATACGGTGTCTTTTTTGCTTCAGCATGTTATCTAAAACCTTTCCTGTAAAGAAAACATGAATACTAACTGCATACAAAGGTATCCAAGTGCATACACAGATATACATAGAATACAAATCTGTCAGATTACACATAATCATTTCAAAACACACATTGTTCCAAGAACCACTGAACAAGTGGGGCAGGCATGGTTGTATTAATTCTAATCCATGTAATAGCAGTGAAAATTGGTAGGACAATCTTTGGCACAGACTTAACACTCTTAGCTGAGTTGTTATCTTGCACCAAAGTCTCTGCTATCCCATCTTCTTTACTGCTGTTATCCACCTCAGCTGAACTGCAGCTAGTACCTTTTCCTGTGCAGACACATTCTCTGAAATCCTATGACCTTGTGTTTAATATCATTTTTGTAAGTGTCAAGAACAAAACCACTCTTGTTTCACTATCTCCATTTTCCTCCTACACTCATCTGTTCTGTCATTTCCTGGTCAGTCTTTGACTACTATGTCAACAACAGCAGCTTGGGAATGAATTTTTTCCCTATTAGCCAATAAGGTCCTTATCAGTTTCTTTGTCAGGTGTCATCTTCCCTTCCCCCACTGCATATAAAGACATTACAGAAAATGTCCAGGATTAAAGTTTCTGTTGTCTGAGATACTACTTGCTGGGTCATGGGTTCCTGAGCACTAAGCTTGCACAGTTGATTCAAGCCTACATATTAACCAATTGGTCATCAAGGACCTTGAGAGTTTGTGTGTCACCCAACCACGCACTACCTGACACTAGTCAAGTTCAATGTCCCCTACTTTAATCAACAGTTTCTGCAAATAATCCAGGCACATCCAATTCCTGAATTCCCATAGGCTTATGATATCAGACAGGTGTGACACACGGGAAAAATGAGGACCACATGGAAGAAAACACACTAAAAGATCTACACATACAAACTGTAAATTGCTTATTTACCTGGCCTTCTCAGAAAGGCACTAAATGCATTTAGCTGAAGAGAAACATTTGAAAGGCAACACTGACAGGGCTACCAACTCTTCACCCTGTATCCCTGGAAGCAGCTTTTGGAACACCTTCAATAATACAGATAATATCCCCTCACAATTTTGGTGACACTAGTTTACCCAAGTACGCTAGCCCATCAAATTTAGAGTTGCACTGTAATCCATGAGGGAAAAAAGACTAGGGAGTGTTGTTCCCCTGATGGATTACAGTGCAACTCCCTTAAGTAACAGTCAAGAAGAGCCAAACAAGTAACATCACACTTTAATGAAATGCATTTAACTAATTTGCAGACAGAGCTGTACAGCTATAAAACCTAGGCTGCTCACAGCAGAAAGATCTGGTGTCCACTGGTTTTAAGTACTGCACTTTAACAGCAAAAAGAATTTAAAAGCAACATGGACATCTACTTATTGCACTTAAATCAGAAGGAACAAGTCTTATAATTCTGCTATGTAGATTTTAATTTGAAACTACAGCCACAGTGTTCTCTTAAGATTAGTTTCTCATGAAAATAATTTCACATAAAACATTACACTGAACAGATTTCTAAGCTACCTCTAATGAGTTATTAGGATGAATAACAAACCAGGCAATACCACAGCATTAGCAATAACAGCAAATGTTAGCATAACATTCCTAATTACAACCAACAAACAAAAAAGGCTACTTTATTAGAACTCCTCTTACCCACCAAGTGTTCATTTCTAAAAATAAAAAACCAAAAAACAACCAACCAACCAAACCACAACACAAGAACAACAAATATTTAATTTAATGTATGTATTCCTTTCCTTCACTCCTCTTACCTTGATGGCATGCTTCAGTGCATGAGCATCAAAAATGTATGTTGGTCTCATCAAAGATACCATCAGTGTTTCAAATTTGCCAGTAAGTTCAGATTTCAGGTCATCTACAAGATCCTAATGCAGAACAAATAGTGCTGTGATGAACAAGGACTAACCATTTCAAATGGATGCATGTGTGCCTGCAAGCTGGAAGACTCTATGGACACATCAAATAGCACAGGGGACAGGGCTTCTTTTAACTGGTATCTGAACTGAAACAAATGGAGCCAGATCAGGCAAAAGAAAAGGGCAAGTGGAAACCCTGAAAGGTAGTGCGAACTTATGGTTTTATCAACCAACGTATTTGGTTTTGTTCTCTCCTATGGTATTGGGCTGCTTTATTTCTGTCACATTTTCTAGCTCTAGAAATTTTTTTCTCACTATCACCTTGCACTGCAGACCTTGCATCAAAATATTTGTTAACTCCTTCCATACTGAGAATGAGGTTAGTACTAGAAGCATACTAAGAGGAAACTACAGGAGCTTCTGCAGAAAACTCTACTTAGGGCATACTGGACCGAAATACAGAAAAACAGAAGCAATTTCCATGTGCTAGCCTAAAAGGAATACTCTAACCCAGCCAGCAATCAAGGATATGGCAAGGTGGGGAGAGGGGGAGACAGAAGCAAAACTAGATTTTCTGCAAAGCAACCTTTTACAGGGAACATGATGAATGTGCCTCACAGGTTTAAGTAAACATTGTAAGTAATACTTGGTTCATTTCTAGAGGTATTTTTCTTCTTCTCACCCTGCCAAATAAGGTTTTAAAGGCAGCTGCAATCTCTTGACGCTGAGCATTGTTTCTGGTGGTAAGGATCTTCAGAACAGTTTCTTCATCAGTCCCTGAAGTTAGAAAGAACACAGTTACAAACACACTCTAAAAACCAAACAGTTATGTCACAAACTCAAAAGGCAACGAACAGCACACTGAAAATAAGTCTACTGACAAACAGCAGAAGCACTCAAGTAACAAATGTCACCATACGCCAAGCTGAGCCGCCAGCTCTGGTGTCCAGCTGTTGTAAAAATGTGATGGGAAGACATGAGTGTTGCTCTCCCTCTGTGCTCTGTTCCAGACACTGCTCCCAGCACCCCAGGCATCAGCTACAACATTTACTCAGAGCCTGTATTCTACATAGCAGCCTTGCCTTCAGACATACCAAGATACTTTCTTTAGAATAAACAATCTATGGACTCTCAGCTAAACTCGGTCCAGTAACCCAAACACCCCAGAGTGCAGAAGCGCAGAGCTATCACCCATTTCATATACAGTAGTTCACAAAGTAGCCCATAAGAGCATTTAGTAACCCTACGGAATTAGCCAATAGGCTGAGGCATATCACATTTCCCTTCTTCCCTTCTCTCTGCTTCCTACTGCAGGCAGCTTCAAAGAAAGCAGCAAATTAGGATTTGTTCCTGCAGGGAAGTTTTGGGCCAGAAAGCTATAGTATGAATTTGTAAAGCACTTGTCAGCCTACGTTCATGCTGTGGGCTTGCATTCTTTGTTCACAGTAACTGTGATGTGCTTACGCACTTCCAGACCAAGGGGGTTGTCACACATTTTCCAAGCACAGAGCTTCCAGTGTACTGTCTTAACTCTCCACACTGGTTGCCTGTGGAGAGTGGTCGCCACAGTCCAGCTGGCTGTGTAATAAAACTCAGAGTCCAGAGAAGCCTGTGGTGCATCAATTTTTAATGGGGAATGTGCAAACCACTTTTCTTTTTCCCCCCACTTATGCTAACCTAAAAATCAACATCCTTGACAGCAGCAGTCACAGCTAGGCCACACTGAGCCCATGCGCTCCTGGGGTTGTCATTCCATAGCATGCAAGTGCACGCCCTACCCTCATCTCCTGATGGGAAAAGAAATGAGTTCAGAAAGGATGTTTGCAAAGGAGAGAGAGCCCTTCTCTTTTCCTGTAATACATTATTCTTACCCAGTCCCTTCATAGCTTTACGAAGAGCTTCTGCATCAGCTCTGGCATCAAAAGGAGAGAAGGCTGTCACAGTGCCTCTTGTGTTCTAGAGGGAAAAAAGGGATAGGGGAAAGGAGAAAAGCCATGAAATAGAGGATAGCATCTTTCAGCTCTCCATACATCAGATCAGACTAAATCTGAATCCATAATCCAAAAGATGATAGTGTTTTTCTTGCAAGTGTCTAACTCAATAGCAATCTGTGGGTACTTAAACACAGCTCCCTCAAAAAGTACTACAGTGGTTTTACTTAGCAACACACCAGCAAAGTTCAGGTATATTTACAAAATGGTAGTTTGCATAACAATTACTAAGAAAATACCATATGTTCAGGTAATTCAGGAAATTAATTGCACAAATCATGTATGCTAGAAAAGCTGCACAAAGATTCAAGATGCATTTAGGAGTATGAACTTCCTCCCCTCCAGAAAAACCAGCTGGAGCTCTCAATCATTATCACTGATTTTTTGCTGTCATGTTGCAAATGAGACCTACTGAACTGCAACGGCTTTTGATTTTTTCACCATGTTTCTTTTGACATAAGCAACTCTTTATTCAAGTGTTTCAGCTACATTTCTCACAGTAGCTTGCAGCTAAAAATAAATAACAGTTCAAAACATACGGATAACAGATCAGCCCCTCCAGCAGAAAAACCATTCCACTAGCTTTCCATGGGATTTTCTCTTTGGGACAAACACAAAAGGATATTCATCACCCTTATGGAAAAGTCTTGCCATTGAAGACCACACAGAGATCAAGAGTTCAAACTTTAGTTTAGTGCTTTAAAACTAACATAACTGAAGAAATACATAATTATTTCATTACATGCTTACCACAATTTCGAGGGCAGCAGAATGCAAATTACACTGTGAGTTGATGAATATAGGTACAGAGCTGATGCAAACACACAGCTATAAAGATGGCTCTAAAAAAAACCTCTCTAAGCTTCATAATGCTTCAGGTTGCCCACTTAAATGGAAGGAGTAAACTCTGGTCAGCAGGCTATATTCACATCTGCCCCACTAAATTTAAACTCCTGACAAAAAAAAAAATGGAGTTACACAACATCTGTTGAACTCTGAGCCAGTCATCATGGAGACACCAAACATAGTGAGGAAGGAAAGAAAAAAAAGGCAAGCGAGTGGGTCGCAGAGAGGGAGAAGAGCGAGCAATAGCAACATAGGAACCAGTGCAGGGACATCTGCAAAAGCACTCAGAGAACCTATCCTTGCAAGTAACCTCAACAATGCCCTCAACAGGTCCTTAGGACCTGATGCTGAAAAAAGTGTTTGTACTTCAGAATATGAGAAATAATTGTGTGAATCCTTATGGGAGCTGGTGATACTATTCCTGTGCCCCAAGTCATATATGGATACAGTATACAGCAGCCACACCTTCACCAGCAACAAGCAACCCTTCCCTGGCAGTTTATAAATGGATGCACAAAATACTCCCAACTTCACGTTCAGAGAAAACTTTGAGAGTAGCAGACCAAAACAGTTAAGTCCCCAGCATGCAAGCAACTATATTCTTTTTTGTTGCTTTCTTCACAGAATCGGGAAGCAGGTGACAGCATTTCCAAGGCTGCTTGTTCATTGAGCAGGAAGAGACTGTAGCATGTGCATCTATGCATTAACAAAGACCACTGCACATACAGCCATGTGAGAAAAGACAGCTTGTTAGGCCAGCAGTGTTCCTCCAAAGAAAGCAGGTAAACACAGGCATGTAGAGACCAGCCTGCACAGCACATTACACCATGCTGTAGTTTTCCTACAAAATGAATGAATCTTTTTTGTCCCAGACATGAAGAACACAAAATCCCTCAGGTCTTTGGGGGAGTAAAAAAAAATAATCTTTCTATAACAGAGCAAGAACAAACACTTCAAGTGACCAAGATTCTAAAGATAACTTACTTGCTTCCAAGGTTTTATTTTGTATCTAGACTAAATTGAACTTCAGTACACTGTGCTGTGCAGCCTTTGCGAACTCTGAACCTTAGCTGCACATATGAATAACTACTGCCAATTGACACTTGACATCTCATGATTGCTAGGAATTTTCATTTCTTGCCACTACCTCGTGGCACAGCATGGTACAAGAACAGACACCTGGAATATGGAACAGAGCTCACTCTTCAAACTGTCTTGTATTTTCATAAAATTAATTACAGGCTACAAAGCTTTAACACTCCAGTCTTTCATGGCTGCATAATCGCACAGGCAAAGAATGCTACTTAAGCAGAAAGCAGCCCTCTACAAGGTGGAAATTGGAGGACAAGGCTTACCTGGTACAAGACAGACCACAGTTTGTAACCCAGCCTCAAAGTGTTACCTCAGGCAGTAGAAAATTCTACCGTGTGAAGACAACAGCAACTGGTTTGCACCAGTGAAGAATTAAATGCTCCTTTTACAAAGATCAAGAATTAAAGTTTGTGTCTCTCTGGAAGAGACAAGACAATTTCAAATGTTCACACTTTTACTAAAAGGAAGCGGTAAAGGAAGCTTACCTCAAGCCTGTAAGCAATGCTACATATACCATAATAAAAGGCTGTCAACTTAAGATCTGCCTGGTCAGATGCCCTACACTGGCATGGGCTCTTCCTAAAACACATCCTACAAACAAAGTCTGATGTTTAAAGACAGAAAAAACCCCTCTTTATCCACCCGTGTGTGTGTCCCCCAAAACTGTAAGGATGAAGTATAATACTGTTAAAATAAAACCTTTTTTAAAACGAAGTACCCTTTTTTGGATTAAAACTAATCCAGACAGAATATGCGCAAATATTCACAGGAGTGTTAAAACACCAATTGCATTTGATGCAACTACAGAAACAAACGCTGGAGTCCACCCTGTTTTCCAAGCCTTCATCCAGGCTCGAACCACAGCAACTCAAGGGCTGCGAAGGAAGAAAAAAAACCCACGATAGCTGCAAGGATTCCAGATTTGTATCAAGTTTGACAGGGGATACCAAGACCCTATATGTGCAGGGCACAGCCACGGCTGTATTTACTTCTTCCTCCTCCAGTGGAAGGCGCCTCCACCCAGGCACTTAAGAAAACTTGGCCAAATTAGTGGAAACCGGCAGAAAAAACCACCAACCAGTTCTGGTTGACGTGTGCCTCACATGATGAGCTGCCTTCCCTGTCCCACTCCCCTCTGCGTTTCCCCAGACGTAGGGATGGGTTGATTTAAGGGAGACCGAAAATGAGGTAAGGAGGAAAAGCAAGGAGGCAGATAAGAGGAGAATGTCCCGGGACCAGCCTGGCTGGGCAGGAGCGAGCCCCCCGAGGGGCCGCGGCGGCCGTCAGCCCGTCCCACCTCACCTTCGCCATCTCTGGTATTCGCCGAGCCGGGGCTGAGTCCGAATCCGAGTCTGCAACGGAAGATGCGACAGTGAGCGACCAGCCCGGACCGTCCCACCCCGACGACCCGTCCCGGCGCCCCCTCGCTGCGGGGCAGCGCCCTCACCGGCAGCCGATCCGCTGAGCCTCCGCCGCACAGAGCCACCAGGAGCACTGAGCGAAGAGAGAGGGAGAGAGGGAGGGCGGAGCCCGCGCTCCGCTGCTGGCCTCACCCGGGAGCCGGGCCAAGCCAGGCCCCACCCCGGGCGGGAGGCCAGCCGCCAGGCTCTGCCTGCCAGGCCCCGGAGCGCGCTTTCTCCCGGGCGCCTGCGCTGCCTGCCCGGTGCGAGCTCTTCGCTGGCTGCCGGAGGGGCACCTTGCTTGTCTGCGCGCCTCTGGCCCCCTACGAGTGGACTGGGCTAGCTCGGGAGGAGCAAAGAGAAAGCCTTCCCACCCGCCGCTTCACAGAGCCGTAGCGGTCGGCAGGGGCTCAAGCGCCCTTACCGTGTCACCAAAGGGCGAGTCAGTACTGAATTGTAAAGCAAGCACTTCTTTAGCTGACCGAGGTGAGCTTCCAACTAAGAACATCAGTAAAATAAGCACAGCGTAGGAACAGAATGTAAGGGCTGTAGTTCTAGACTATCAGTACAGCAAGAATACTGCGTGATTATACTCCTCAACGTGTTACAGCAGGACCGTTTCGCTGACACACGTATAGAGAAGATACATCCACTCTGGGAGAGCAAGGAGGATGCAGTGTTCATGACTATTCACGGACCATTTTCATCTAAAGCAGGGAAGCGCTCCCTCAGCCATACAAGTGCAATCCAGCTGAGCATCAGATAAGAAGAGCCAGCAACACAAATGGAATTAAGCGTCTTTGCCAAAATAACACATGAATGTTATCTCACTGTGTGAGCATTTTAACATGTAATGATCACTTCTGCCTTAAAGTGAGTTGTGTTTTACCTTGGGAAACGCTAGCAGAAATGCAGATTGAGATGTCAGTTTTAAGTATTTTGACTATTATTTGTTGTTGCCCAGAAGTGCACTCAGAGTTCAGCAAAAACATGAGATCCACCCTGCTGGCTTCTTTTGCATGGCCGAGGATCAAATGGTTTGCTAAATGGCCCGATTTACTTATTGAAGTGTTGATTTGAATCTAATCCATTGAATTGGTGTTCCACACATGCACAAAGAGAACGCTGAGCTGCTCATAATATGCATGTTGAAATGCACATATGGATTAGATTAGAGTAACTATATTTAAGAAAATATTATGGGTTATGAAATCGTTTAAAATATGGTAACTGACATTCAAATGGGTTGCTTTGAGTTTAAGCACAACCTTACACACACACACCCCTCCTCTTTCTGCAAGCTTAAGTCTTTTTTTCCTTACACATTCTATCTGGAGCACATCCAGACCACGCTGTGGTCATGTTTCAAGCTCTGCCACTCAGAAAGTGCACACATGCACATGTAAGTGCATGCGAGATCTAAGTCTGTCCTCTTTAATACATTCCAAAATTCTGTCGATCAAATCGAGGTTGCATAAACACAGCAGTAAATATGCTTTGAGTGCCAAACGACACACAGGTGAGAGCACAGACAAATGGATGTCAAACCTCATTAAGGACTCACATATGCGATAAGGAAAAGTTATTGGGTAACATGAAAGTTTAAAACAGGCTCGCTCTATCAGTACCATGTGAACAATTAATAAAGTGTCTGGAAACACAGCTGTAGGTCTTGTCAGTTTGACATGTTATTAGGATCACTCTACTATAGCAAATCGCATGCATGAAGGTTTATACATCACCTTTTCTGATAAAAACTTACCCATTAAATTGCACAAATTAACAAACCCTTGAATGATTTGGAAAAAGGTGTATTTTTATCTAACAAATTATATCTCAGTTAGCATATGACCACCACCTGGAATGCAACTGGACTGCCTCAGAAAAGTAACTCCCCCCAGCTCTCCTCTGTTGGAGGAAGCCCCTATAGGCACCCAGCACTGGAATACAAGCTTTGAATTCTTTGCTTCCTGTAATGCCAAGTATAGTTTAAACTGGGGAATGGGACATACAGTGTCTGCTGGCTGAATGAAAATGTTCAAAGTGTCTCAATGTGTATAACAGTACATCAAGAGGCGGGGGGGGAAGCGGATTTTCTCCCTGCCTCTTCTTATGCTTTCTGATTTATGAGGATCCATTTTTCTGTCTTATAGCATTTTTGTTTCCTATGCCTTATTTAGCATCCTTACTATTTTATAGCAATTCTCAAATTTAAATAAATTACCAAATAGATGCCTTCAATTCCAGTTTTCCCTTTAAACTTTGTGTTGGAGGTTGTGGATTTGGAATCCAATTAACACACAGCTTGTGCTCTGCAGCAAGCGTCTCTGTGTACATTTTGCTTCTCATTCCAGTGGAGGAAGCCTATCTTCCTTCATTTCATAGTATTTGAAATGGTTTTCCATTCTTCTGCTTTTGACCAGTTTACACAAAATAGCTTCTTATTCCAGTCTAATCTTACCCTCAGCCAAACATGAGGTAACGTTCAGTCAATTGACAGTAATCTCTGGATTTCTTATCAGTGAAGGCCAGGGGAAACAATCTTGGATGTGAGAACACATATTTTCCTGCTTTGGAAAGGGTCTGAAATACATGATCCAAGATGGACTGGAATGGGAGGAAAAGCTTAACTAGAGGAGAACTGTCTTCTTGCCAACAGGTAAACTTAGGAGTAAAATATACTCTAGTCCCTCTAAAAGGTCATCATGTTTGAGCAAGCAAATATTTGCGTAACTTCCTGAAGCAAGGAGGCCAGGGGCAGGAGAAATGCTAGCCTAAAGCTATATGAAAGACTTGCCAGTCCATTCAGCCAAAGCAGACGTCTGTGTGGAAAAAAAATAAAAGTCTCCCGATAATAACAGAAATTCAGCCTTTGTATCAATTTGAATGAAAAGGGAAGAGAAACAGATTCAGTAAATCCAAAATGAATGTGAAGACATGAGCATGTAATTGGAGAGAAATGCCTATTGTACTAACTGCCTTCAGAAGAAACAATTCTGGTTAGGCTAAACCAGGTTAACAGATGGTGATTTATATGCACCGGATGCAGAACCTTCATAGTCACCATGTATGTAGCCTGAGAGCAACTCTTCACTCACAAGCCACAAAGAAGCCTTCTAGATTTAGTAGCATTCTTTTTCTCCTACTCACCCCCCCCTTTTTTTTTAAACAAAGCCAAATTTTCACACAAGGAAAGTGCTTACATTAGGTGAAATCAGACTTTGCACCTTCCAAGCTCTTCCCTGCTCTTTGCATCTTCAAACACAAACAGATTCATACCAGGATGTAACCAGTGCTGATGTTGGCACAGTGCACTTCCAGTCCTTCCTTAAAAGAAAGTTGCAAACACCTGGAACAATGAAAAGCAATAAAATATGATGAGAAACAGAATGGTAGTATTTTAATGATGCATTTAGCTCTGGCACACATTGTGACTGTTCAAGCAAGGCCCTGTCAGTTCCCAGTCAACTTCAAGGCACAGGTCTTGTCCATACGGAATACATTTCAGGGGTTAGTCTCAAAATCACCTTTCAAAGGGATATGAAATGCTTAAATATCACACTGAGGCAGAATGTGCCTTGATTAAGCAATCAGGAAGTGTTCAACAGCCAGAAAGCCAAAGTAACCTCACAAGCACAGACTACACCAGCAACCTGCACTTCCTCTGGAGGCAAAGATGGGATTTCCTCCATTTGGGGATACATTCTGGGGTCACTTGATTTGCTCTGGAGGTACATTGGCTGGTGCTGCTGTGTCACAGCTTACTACTTCCCTGACCTAAGCTCTTGAAAAGAGATTTTAAAAGCTACACATTAATCAAAAACTGCATCATGGCAAAAAAATTAGATGATTAGTCCATATTAGGTCTTGCTCACCAGTGTTTCTGCTCTTTCTGATGAGGTGAGGACCTGGGAGAAATGTGGCTAACCTGAAACCCAACTTTAAGGGGCTTCACAGCCTCTTCCTGCAGATAGGATGACAGGAGAGAAGAAACAAAGACTGTCATAGGGGGCCTATCTTCATTTGTCAAATGCTTCTCTACTTTTGGGAGAACATGGGGTTTTTGTTGCCTCCAAAAGCCACCTTTTGTTCTTCAAAGTTATACCTCAGTATAACACGAAACTCTTGGCCAAGGTTCAAGAGCCTGTAGACAGAATCACATCTGACACAGGACAAAACTAGTATGCACATGCTACCTCCAGCGGTGTGATCTCAGTAAGCTTTCTCACTTCCCTGTGGAATTCAGGTATGCAAGTAAATCCAGGCATATTTATGTAAAATAAAATAAGCAAGCAAATTTCCCTGAGCACTGACCACAGTGTAAAGTCCAAAATTGCCATCACATCACAGTTACACAACAGAGCAGTTCGAGTTCTAGAAAAGAGGCAAAGATTGCATACAAAAATCATCAGATATGTGAAATAATTAACTTAATACGGGGTTTCTAATAAGGAGCTGGAAAATGTTTAATTCAAAGTCCGACTGTAGCACTAAAATGCATCTGCATGTTTTTTTGGGTTTGGGGTTTTTGTGTTTTTTTTTCGGAAACAAAGTAAGAGTCTTAGAGAATGAAGAGTTAGCACAAAAGGAGTTCATTTCAAAAGCATGCCCCCTAGCAGCTATTGTCAAGAGCAGTCTGCTAGATCACAGAAAGACCAGTAACTGCAATTTTTTAAAACAAATAAATAGGAAGATAGATGGTTTGCTCTATCAAGGCAGTCTTATGGTGAGTGTCCTCATTTCCTGCCCAAAAGTACCATACATCATTTTGCTACCAATGTTTCTTAGGTATTATATGACACTACATAGGATTATAGAAGAGAAAAAAAGAGCAAGGCCCATATTAAAGGAAAGTTTGGTTCTGCTGTGCAGCTGATGGCTGCTGAAAGGAAAAGTTCCCTCGATTTACCTAACGGAGCCAGAGCACAGCAATCACGTTAGAGCCCTTTTCACATAATACAGAAAGACCAAGGACAGTTACTGTCCTAGTTAAAATATTTTCTCTTAAAAATATCCATTGCAAAATATTTAAAAAGCCTATTGTAGAGCTCCTGAAGTGCAATAGGTTTACCAAAGATTTTCAGGCTTGGGAGATTTCACAGAGCTGACAGTTGCCTTATGAAATTGTAACTGAAGATCAATCTTAAATGCTTTTCCATACTTTAATGTCTTTTTGGAAGTGAAACAGTCAAAACTTTGATGAACCACAACTCAGAAGCAAAGGTGAGGGAGGAAAAGAAAGAGCAATTTCAAGTTCATGCTTTGATCAATACCGACAGAGAAGAAATGGGTTCTGTTTCAGACCAGGTGCCATGGGATGGCAATTTCTCAGTGCCCCGTTGCTGTCTTTGTGTAGGAGTGCGAAAACAGTTCAGCTGTTGACACAAACGAAGAGAGTTTTGTGCTGCACTCTGGCACCTTGGGTGGCAGGCATGAGGCAAACAATAAGCAGCAAAGCTACTGAAGTAAGAAGAGAGGAGAGTGATACTGGTTTACAGGCAGAGTAAAATGTTCCAGTTTTAATACTGACAGGAAGTTCATAAAATTCTTCCCATGCTGCAGGTGCCAGCCTCAGGGGACTGCTGAAGGGCAGGCTGAGAGTACAGAGTAGAAGGTTTGTTGTTTGTTTGTTTTTTTAAAGCACTTTGAGGCTTGCTTTGGAGACTAAATATTGGCTTATGTTCCAGCAAAGACAACCTCCTCTAAGTGATCCATTATGTCTAATCCACAACCTATTACAGAGCACTGCTCTGTCAGATTCTTGATTTCTCTTGGGACAGCGGTATAATGTGACAAGGTTAACGGGAACTAAGAACATCCATACCAGTTACAGCATCAGGCAGCTCAGTTCAACTTACTGGAAAAATTCTTGCTTTTAGTCAGAGTAGGTGCAGGTTTCTTTGAAATTGTCTTTAGAGAAAGATACATCACAAGGATATCATCAACGCAATAATCTCAGTTCAAGCAAAGATAAATCTTTGAGCCATATTCCAGTACTTCTCTCAGGCCCTGGATGCTAATCTTGATTACTAGGACAGCTGTGCAGTATTATGCTAAGACAGGGCTTGATCTCCAGACTGCCTAATTCTTCTCCAAAAAACAGAATTTCCATCCCTGATGATTAGTGATATAAACTCCTCCTCCAGGGCAAAGGGAAAGAAAAGGACCCAGGTGCTCTATTTCTGTATTTTCAGCTGTTCCGCACTATAATTTATCTTGAGCAGATCACTTGGGCTTTGTGCTTTACACACTTCCACACAGTGATGGTGTATGAAGGGAAAGTCCTTCAATAATAGTAGAACACTTGTTTTGTTCCCCAGCCAGGAACTTGAAGCATTGTGCTAAGAATTTAAGAGCTACTGCAAACCTTCAGCATAGCACTAAGTAACTATCAAGAGTGACCAGTATGAGTTAAGAAAGGTATTTCCCTTAACCAGTTATGCAATTAGTTCCACTTAGGGAAGAAGAGCAGAGAGAATAATAATTCAGTTCTGTTAGCTTAAAGGAAATTTGAAAGACCGGAGGAAAGAAAATAAAAGTTACCCATGAGTGGTCCTCTCCATCTCCGTGCGGAAGAGAAATAGAAATCAATTTAGTTGAAATGAACTTGCATAATGTCACTAAACAAGTTTGGCCTTTGCATTTATTATTCCCAAAGACTTCCAGCTGAGGTCCTGCAACAAGACCTCTTTCTCATGTAGGGACCTTCCATTAGCACTCCCACAAGAGTCTTGATATACAGGAACACTATTATCTTCATTTTCAAATGGAGAATAAAGGTAAGCTGGGGCTCTGTGGTTTCCCCAAGGTCACTGGTAACTGAACCCTACCAACTTTGCATTGCTTTGTTCTTTCTCTCTTTACTTTGCCAAAGGGCCTCAGTGTCACTGCAAACTGCTCCCTTGTTTTACATATTCACTGATGAAGAATAAAAGAAACCATACATTATTCTAAAGGTGGCGGGATAAGCAGCACCATCCACCTCTGCAGTCTTGCATGGATATTCTCACTTGAAACAGCACAAGCTTTGACCCCGTAAGTGAGAGCAGATTCAGGCCCACAAAATTTTGGTTTGATTATGAGGAAGTAAGTCTGAAAGCAAAACCAAACAAAGCCTACATAAACATGTTTTCTCTTCAGCCTTTATTAAGAGTTTCTAAAACATGTAGATCCCCATCTTCCAAACCACTATCATCAAAACCCCAAATAACAGGGTGCTTCAATTGTAGATTGTGTACAGCCTACACCACTGCCTAGGCAACCCAACAGTTCTGACAGGAGGCAGTAGTGTCTTACAGAGCTTTAATGATTTTCCTGGAACGTAACGGATTTACATTCTTTCTGTCCATAACTTTTCATATAATTCCTCAGACACTGGATGTTTAGCGCTCTTGTAAACACAAGAAACACTTTTAGCACTTAGCTCAAGACCTCTAAAGCCCCTTTTCTGGTTTCTACAACATGTGTTGACACCTGAACTAGGAAAAATCTACCTAAACTGCCAGCACGTAAGTGAAGTCTATTTTAACTGCTCCTGATAAGTCATTGTCAATCTGTGCCCAGGCACACACTCTAGATTTAAAATGCTCCATTTCTTTACTTGGAACTTTAAAATATGAGCAAGTCACTCAAAGGTGTATGCATGGACAAAGCCATGCACACACAAGAGTTTTGTGTAGTCCTGTATAGGATAAAGTTCCATAAGCCTTCTCTTACTCAGTTTCATGCAAGGTTGCAGGGACTGCCGTAGTCTAAACCCCAGCCCTCACCTCAACTGAAAAAACACAGATAAATCACTTATTTTTTGAATCCTCCTGTTCTGTCATTGATCCTTGCCAGGCACAAGGGGGGCTTTACTCCTCCATGAATCACTGGCAGTACTATTCAAGAACAGGGATGGGTTTCAAGTAATAAGAGATGCATTTCTTCCATAATACTGTTTGGATTATATTGTCAATTCCTTTCTCTATAGCAACAGACATTGGGTATTGGGGGGGGTTAATGAAAAGTGAGATTTCCAGGTGATACTATGATTCAAGAAATACAAGTTTTGGTAAAGCAAGGCAGCAAATGTAATACTTCTGATAAATTTCTATGTGTAGTCAACGCTGCCAGTAGTTCAAACTTCTCACCCTAATCATGTTTCTGAGAGCTGGCTGTACGACAGAAAATTTCCATTCTTTCTAAACTAGCTGTTTTTTCTTAAAATAAACTTCTAGTCTGAGTGAAATGCCTGCAGTAACATTCCTCTGAAAAGCTCCAGTGCCTCTGCATCTCCTCTTTCAGTAGAGTTTTTCAACTTTATTTGCATTTTCAAGCAGAAAACTATTAATATAGCATACCAACACCTTCCAGTAGCAGTTATTATAGCAGAGCTTTAGGTAAACTACAGACATGTTAGGGTCTCTAATAACAAATTACATCCTGCAGTTTTGTTTACTTCAAGGAGTTCTCCCCCACAGCAAGAACATATATTTAGCTATTAGTCAGGTAAGGCATTCTTCAGAGCAAACCTGGTTTATTTTATCATATTGACAGCTTTTTGTAATGCTAATTTTTCCAGAGTAGAAGGATGAATTGCAAATCAGGGGCTGTGAGTCGTTTTCAAGATCCATTATTAGGTTACTATGAAACTCCAAATCTCTTTTTCCAGGAGCGATATGGTTAAAATAATATTTATTCTTTATAAAAGCACCTTGATAAAAGTCTCTGCAGTAAAAAGCTAATAACAAATGATAAATCCTAAACTACATATTAGCGTTGTTTTTGCAGTGTGCATGTAGATACCGCCACGTATCTTGATCCATTCCCAGACCAAAAACCAGACTGGTTTTTGGCACTCCGATGCAACAGGATGAGCACATTTGCAATGGGAACCAGAGAAGGCCTTATGTTAAATGTCATTCCCTGCCTCCTCCTGGTATATCTTGAGCTCCTAATTTTGTTGCATCTATTTCCAGTCAGTGGCTTGAACGACTTCTCATGGGTTGTCTGCAACACCTCTTGCTTGCCCCTGTCTCAGGTAATCAAAATCCTACAAATAAAATTACTGTCACTTTTCAGGTCTGGAGGTCATTGCTCAAAAAAGCAAGCATCCAAATACATGCATGGAACTAGGAAAGGATGAGATGCCATGACTGATCCAGCCAACTTATCTTCCCAGAAAGAGAAAAGAGAAATACCCAGACCTCATTATCCCCTTGCATATTTGCCTGCACTTGTAGCAACGGATCAGTGAAACTGAGGTTAGAGAGCACTAAAGCTTTGACATGTGACAAATCTTGTTCCTGTATAGTTGCACACCTCCCAACTCTGGACTGGAGAGACCAAGGAAAAGGGAAGAAATTCCTGCCCTGATCCCTCCCAACACTTTAAAACCCTCAGGCCTTGTAGTGCCATTGGCAGGGGCAGGAACTGCAGCAGCTGACTGTGAGTTCTGGTGGTGCATTCACATTCTTGCAACAGCACCAGGCAAATCAGCGCATTTAAGCTTTGCATCCAACCATGAGCAGACGCGTTTGACTCTTTTAGTACCCAACTTATTTGCTTCCTGGTGCGATATTACGTGCTGAAGATAGCTGCAGACAAAAATTAACTATTTTCCTTTAGCCAAAAGAAATAAATATGGCTAATTATGGCTTCCTTTCCTCCGTTGCGTGTTCACTTGGATGAACTGCTGCAGTAAGTGCAAACACAGCGAGGCTTAGCCAAGCAGGGCAAGCAGCCATGGGTAGCAACTGCAATGCCTCCAACCACAGGAGAAGAACAGTAAACACACAAACTTCATAGCAACACCAATCTCCATCTGCACAGTCATTAAGGGTAATTGAGATTCCTCCTGCCCCACATTGTGGTTCTGTGGGTCAGAGCTGCAGAGACAGCTTCAGCATTCACCATGAGGGGTCTTGGGACAAACTTCCAGTGGCTTACAGCAAGATGATCAAGAAACAGTCCTCTGGGATCTAGAGGCCAAAAACTTCTCTTGGTTGTGCCTGCTGAGTTTTTGAGCCCTGGTGTATATAACTGGAATGAAGGCAGTGGTGAATGCCACCATCTGAATGTGCACTGGCGGTATTTCACGGTGTAATTCTTAGAATGCTATATGTAGATATCTATATAAATAATGCTGCTCAGGCCTGCTCAGAAATGCAACACACAGAACAATTCATACACAGCTTTGCCTCAAAATTATTTTTAAACCAAAGAAATCCACAGAAAATGTACATTATGCTAAATACCTCCCGCTGTTAGTAGCTACAGAGCCAAGAGCTTGGGTTTTGTATAAGGAGTTCATTCAGATGTACATTGCAGTATTGCAACATTGCAGTATTGAAATACTGCAGCACTTAGAGTGCTGCTGTAAGCAATTCAAAACTGAGTTATCACAAGTTATTCTACTTAATACAGTGACAGAGAAAGATGCCTGCATTTTGTCAGACCCGCATCTGTGGCCATAGATGCTGCAGGAATTCCTGCTAAACCATGTTAGACCACTCTCAGAGGCAGAGTTTCAAAAACTGCTATCGTTATAGTCAAAGCGGAAGTGAACACCTAATAATGTAAAATCTGACTTGCTGAAATCCCTTCCTGTACTTCCAACATGAAGGAACACCAACGGTTTTGAAGCCTTAAAGAAAACGCGCCGTCTAGTGGCAGTGACCGGGAACTGTGGCACGGAGGAAAGAGTTCTCAACCCCCCTTCCGTGAAGACTGTGACATACAGAGGAGTAACACTGATAATATATATGACTCGTCAAAAATCCTGACACGCTGTCATATTTTATCCACGAGTTCATGCAAAAATGTCACTTTTTAAATAATAACAAAAAATACCACCAGGTGATCAGGCAGGTATTCCACTGGTTGGGACTTTCTTTCATCACACGCTTGACGTTTGCTTCCCTTTCTCACCCAAAACCAGTCCAAATGCTCACATTATGCCATCCCACTGCATCTGAATTATGGATTCACACTTCAAAATACCATGGGCTTGCCGCTATTTGTAATAAATCAAAGTGGAGACCTCTGGTGTTGGGGAAAAAGAAAGGCTTTATTTACCTACACCATCTCCCTACACATCCTAGTATTTGATACCAGAATGCTTGTTTTTACTCAGCGTTCCCAGCAGCTGTAGGCAGATCTTCTACTAGCTCTGCACTTTTCAGTATGAAACTGTGAGCAGGTTTCAGTAAGTAAAATGCTCTGTATTGATAAATAATCTCATGCCAAGAGTTTAACATAGGAAAGCCAATTTCTGAACTGGAAATGGACCCAATAAAGATGCAGTTAAAAAAAATAATAATATCCTGAAGTTGGGGATTTTGGGGGGTTTGTTCAGGGTTGTTTTGTTTTGGGGGGGTGTTTGTTTGGGGAGGGGCTTGCTTTTTTGGGGGGGTGTTGTTGGTTGGTTGTTTTTTTTTGTCGTCAAGACTCTGAATTTAAGTTTGGATTATGTGTTGCACATTGAGGAAATATATTTCATGGCTGAGAAACTGCATACCAGCAAAACCTACAGTAATGAAGAACCAGAGAAGTAAAAGAGAAACCAGTAAAGCATGTAGATCAATGAGATTACTTTAGTAGAGATGGCAACCAAACCCACCACAATTCAGAAACATGTCTCATTTCTTCCTCTGCACTAGCACTGAGTAAAGTTTCAGCACCTTCTAGCATTCAAGTAGCTCCCTTCAAAGGGAAGCTGAAAGTGGAAGGATTTTCACAACAATGAACTGTGTACAGTTGAGGCAGATGCCAGCCAAGCAAACCTTTTTCATTTTGATATTAAGCAAATGCTTTCAAATGGTGAATGAGAAACCCTATCAAGCACTGACTATGCTCAAAGGACTGGACCAAATTGGAGATGCCAGAGTAAAAAAAAGACAATTTTAAATTTCATTTCTCTTTAAATTGACATTGCACAGTTCCAGGGTTACGCATTTATTTCAAAAGTTGAAGTATTCCCCCAGAAGCTCCCAGGTAAGTATTCCATTTCGCAGAGCTGCAGGCTGAGACAAGCAGACAGATTGGTTTGTTATACATCATCTCACATTAAACAACTCTGCTCTGTCACAAGCATTTGTTGATGCTTGAGGTCTTTTACTTTCTAAAACATTGTCACCTTCAGGTTTTTCATAGAGCCTGCCTTCACTTCCAATGCTGGAAGCAGAAAGGGGAGGTTGGAAACAAAATTTGTGTGGGGTCTTAGCACTACCAGTAAAAGCCACCAACTTGTGAGCAAACGGGGAAATTTTGTGTGTTCATGAAGCAAGTTTCCTCAATGCATCTCCTAGTAACCAGCCACTCATGTGCAAAACAAGCCTGCATCTCAGTAAATATTCCTTTTTCTCTAAGCAGTTTCACCTGCCTTTCACACAGGACAAGGGGGAAAAACGCTGTGTTTTTTCCTGAGCTGAAGGCCAAATTGGAAGCTTTGTTTACCTGGCATTATAAAACACTTTCTAGCAGTCTCTTAGGTTTCAGACCAGCATTTTAGCAACAGATAAAAATTCACGCAGGCATAGCTCTGAGCCCATTTGGATTCTTTTATGCATCAGTTTCCCCATATGAGGAATTAGACTAGCACGGTTTTGCCAAACTTGGCAGCCAGGAAAGGATGAGCAGCGCATTTCCCTCCCGGCTTTTTTAGCTATGTACAAGGTGACTGAATTCAGCCAAGTTTGAATGACTTACATGAACGCAGGGCCGGTGTAGAGCAGTGATTAATCATCTTTCCCTCCATAGTTATTTCTTGCACAATAATGTATTGCACACCTCTAATTCTGCTGCTAAACATCCATAATCTTCTGACAACTCGAGAGTCTCCAGGGGTTTCATCTTTGAAACAGGGCAACAGACAGAGACAGGTCAGTAAAAGCAGACTTCAGTAAATCAGAGCTAAAAAACATATAGACTTCTATTTTTACTGAGTGTGTATTTTAACACCGAAGCAGTTTACATCACTGTAACTACTGACAAGTTACCATAAGTCATTATTAATGAGACCAACAAACAAACAAAAAAACCCCCCACAAAACAAAAAACTACATGCCCACAAACACATTTTCCTTCCCTTCATAGAGGTATTTCACCATATAGGGCCTCTACTCTTACACACCAGCAACTAAGTATAGCAAAACACACATACATGACATCTGCTTTACCTGGATCTACTCTGCCCTGAGCCCCTCCATCTCCCTGCATCCTCACCTGCTTCTATTGACAGACACCTACCAATGCATTCTAAAGGGCATCACCATCAGCAGGCAAGACATCCCTCTTAGGCCTCACCTCTCTTTGGAAAACCCAGTCAGGTGTCCATCCCACCCCCCTTAAACTATTTCCGTACTTTCCTCCCTGCAAGTAAACAAGCCAGCTCTCCTTTCTACCAGCAACACCTGTATTTCAGCTCCTGCCCACCCCTTGCTCCCCACATGGCTCCCTCTGGCCAGCAGCATCCTACAGGGTTCACAGAAGCAGCTCTGGGCTACCCCAAAGAATCAGCAAGCCAGCAACACTGTTACAATATGAAGGTCTGAGCTGGATTTTAGGGGGCTTTTATCATTTTCAGCATGGGAATATCGAGTTTTCATCACATATCTGATGTTACATGGCATTCACATCATGCAGAAAGGACCAGTCTGAGTGGATCAATCACCTCAAAGAAAGAGAAAACAGAAGTATATGCCAGTGATGGTTTCTCACCAAGGAGAATAGCTAAACTTGTCTTCAGCAGTCAGTCAAGGCCCCAGCAAAACCTGTTCTACTAAAGATAAATGATCATTTGCGAAAGAACAGACACCTTTGAAAACTTAATCACTATCTTTAAACAAAGAGTTGCCTCGGGCAGCATAAGTTTTACAAGGTATGCACAACCAACCAGCTACAACACAGGTCCCAGACTCTGATGAGCTTTAAGAAAATCTCAATGACTCCTTTTCACCTCCTGTCCAGGTATATCTGAAAATCTCTCCTGCTAATCACACGTGGGATAAACAGGAGCCTGCATGCGCAGGCTCCAGGCCTGGCTTTAAATTTACATCCATCATGCTCTTTCTAATAACCACTTGTCTCACATCAGCTGCTACAAAGTTGCTCAGACAATCCAAGTCTGGGTGGGGTTTTTTTTTTATTCATTAAATGGATACCTGAAACACTATTAAAAAGGAACAGTATTGTCAGAAGCAATGGATAATTATTTTCTACAGTATTTGGCAGGATAAGGAGATAAGCAGAAAAAGTCTAGGTCATTCTGTGCTTCTTAGGTCAATACACAGATATTGCAGCCAAGACACTGAATCGAGTTTTAGCACTGTATTTGTGCGTTTTGCTTTTGGTTTTGTTCTTGTTTTTAATCTCGACATATTGTATGTTATGGATCGCTTTGTACAAAAGCTTTGACATAACCGACATACTGTTAACTTTTCTACAAATAATAGTACTATACCAATTGCAAAATTAGGACATGTACTATAATATCAGGCATGTTGATTATTTATTAACATAAATAATCAGATATTATATATATAAATGTATATTTTATCATACATATGATTATATATTATATATTATAATTTATATCATATATATAAATATATATGTTAATATCTGATATGTATGTTAATATATGATATATTTATGCTAATAAATATATATTTAAATATATATAATATAACATAAATGTATATTTATATATATTAACATATATATTAACATACATATCAGATATTAACACATCATCACATATGTTAATAACTGGGATAAAGAAACAGAGCTCACAGTAACATTAATTTGTATGAAGGATACCCAGGTATATGCAGGCTCACTTCATTTGGAAATGCATGCTAGCACACACCAATTCCCAGGTGTTAAACAGATTCAAGTATGCCTTGGTGATCACAGCAGTCTCACAGTTAATTCAGCATTTAAAGATATTGAATACATTATACTGAATCTTACTGGAAGAACAGAAGTTCCATTTACTAACATAAATATTAGGTAAAGCCTTGTGTACAAAGACGGGAATGAAAAGTAATTTGTTTATTCACCTTGTATCTTCAGCAAGCAGAAAAAAGGTATCAGGACTTCTCTGCACAAGGAGTAAGACACAATCACAAGACCTTGATTGATGACCTTCTTCCATTTCAAACTTCTTCCTTGCATCACGAGATCTAGCAAGCTTTCTGAAAATGGGAACAGGTTTGTATCCACCAGCTTGAGTCCAGAAGCTGGGCCTCTCAACCAGCACCGAGTCTTTTGAGTGTAGCACAAGCCACAGGAGCAGGTGATTCTGTGCCTTTGTGCCTCTTCATCTAGTAATGAGAAAAGAGGTGCTTACAGAGCCACTGCCTCTTCATAAAAGCACAGCTTTATTTCCTCTTCTGCACCATCTAATCTTTAACATTCAACCACTGAGCTTTATGTATTTGCCTTGGGAGATTATTTCTTGACTTAACAGATCTTTTTGCTGAATACAAGGAGACCTTGCTCTCCTGCTATTAGTTTTACCCATGTCTATCTGTACTCTGTGTCATTATGCCTAGTTACCGGTTATGCTAAGTAAGCTCTTTCTAGGTATCTATATCTTTCAAGTATTTGCAGATGATGCATCCCCCTATAGCTGCCAGCTAACAAAAGCAGACACATTTTTTATTTTACTCTTTTCTTTAGAATACCCCAAAGACTTTTCATTGCTCTAATCCGAATGCCCTCTGGTTGTCAACAACAGCCTAGTAATGAGGTGTCATGAGAGTGTGTAGCATGTTAGGGTTGAACAGCAAGGAGCCCTCAGGCCTCATAGGGACAGGCTGCCTCTGCCTATGCACTTCAGCATCACACGGGTGTCGAGATTAATTTACTGCTAATGGTCACATCTTGTATTTCTTGAGCCCTGCAGTTTCCTTGTTCACGTCTTCCCAAGAGGATTCATATGGCTGATCTTTTAGTCTTTAGCTTACTTCTGACTCTCATCACTAATTAAACAAAATGATGAATGTCTTTTGTTGTGAAGTTGGATACAGAAGAGCTCTGGACAGTGGGACAGGCACTCTTAGTGCAAGAGGTTGCAATTAATGTTATTTTTAAGGTGGCAAGGAAAATGGGATGAAGTGATATATGCAGATATGTTTTTCACATTGAGAAGTTATACAGAGTAGCAGAAAGAACGTGGAATAAATAGAGTGCCACCTGCTCCTCTGATTCTAGCTTTAGAAAAGGATAGAAAAAGACTGAAACCCAAATTAGAAAGATGTTGTTCAGGATGTGACATAGGTGAAATGTGTCTGAAAATGAGAAAAAGGGAGGAAAATGGGATAGATTATGTCTCCCTGACATTTGTGACACAAAACCCGCAAAGTCCAATAAATGCCTGCTGCAAGTCCTCCTGATTCTGATGAAGAGGAAGGAATGAACAGTAATGGTAATAGCAGAAAAGAATTTAAAGGTACCTCAATCACTGCTCGTGTCCATAGTAAAACAGGACATGTGACACAGGCACCTTTAGGGAAAGCAATGGGACCAGAGGGACAAACCAGAATAAGAGTAAACTTTTCAGTGGGAAACTTAGATGCTTGGAAACAGATTGTGAAAAATTATCAAAACAATCCAAGAGGAGTAGCAAAACAATTCAAATTGATTGTCAAAAGTCAGAATCCTGATTGGAGAGATATAGACTTAATATTAGATGCATTAACTGAAACTGAAAAGCAACTGGTGATAAAAACAGCTTGTGCTCAGGTTAATGCCCAAATAATCACTGGTACATTAGCAAGAAGAATGGAAGAACATGTTCTTTTGACTGTACCAGACTGGGACTACGATGACCTGGCAGTTTATGCTGCTTTAAAGAGATACCAGAATCTGAATAAATTTGGGCTAGAAAATGCAATACCAAAAGCCGTAAATTGGTCGGTTCTATCTGAAATAAAACAAGGACCAAAAGAAACACCTACCGAATTCCTAGACAAATTAAGAGAAGCAATGCGAAAATATACTACCTTAGACCCTTCTTCTACTGAAGGGAAATACAAATCACTAACTTATTTCTAGGACATACAACAGAAGATATTAGAAGAAAGCTTCAGAAATCATCAGGACCTGACAGTCGAAATATAGAAAAATTAGGAGCTGAGGCATGGAAAGTTTATAGAAATCAGGAACAGATAAAAGAGAAAAAGCTAGGAAGAACTATAGCAACTGCTACAGTAGCTGCTTTAGGGCACACAGGGACCTGTGCGGGGAAGCAGAGGACAGGGCAGAGGAAGAGGAATAGTAGTTAGAGGCAGATGAGGAATGTTCAATAAAGGGGAGAGAGCAAATTTTTCTCTCAATGTAGAACCTAATCAGTGTCTAAAATGCAAGGAATTCAGACACTGGAAGCGAGACTGTCCTCAACAGAAATAGGAAACACCAGTGACTGAACTAAAGTTAGATTGACAGGAACCTGGGGAATCTATCCTAGCAGATCCACTGGTTAAATTAAAGCCAGGGGAAGGAAAAAAAAGAGAAAGAATTCCTGATAGATACAGGGGCAATTTATTCGGTAGTAAATCAAAATTTAAATCCGGTTGGAAAAGAATTTGTTACAGTTGTGGGAGCTACTGGCTGCTGGGAAAAAACATTCTTTCTGAGACCATTAAAATATAAATTGGGAAAAAAAGATTGGTGTGCATAAATTCTTATACATTCCAAATTAAAGATGGTAAATGAAGAACAGAATATGCTGTAACTACAACTTCAAGAGTAATAGAAGCTAAACCATTACCCTCTAACACCTCAGCACAAAAGGCAGAAATAATGGCCCTGACTAGAGCCTTGGAGTTGGCAAAGGACAAGCAGATAAACATACGGACTGATTCCAAATATGCCTTTGGTGTAGTTCATGCACCGGGAGCAATTTGGAAAGACCTTTAAATACCCAGGGAAGACAAATTAAACATGCAACGTAAATGTTGCGATTGTTAGAAGCTGTACAAGTACCTAGTGAAGTGGCTATCATACATTGTAAAGAACATCAAAAAAGTAATTGATCCAGAGACTGGAAATAATTTGGCTGATTGTGAGGTTAAACAGGCAGCAGAAACAGAAAGAGTTGTTAATTCCTGAAGGTAAACTGGCAATTGAGCAAAATAAACTTAGGTACTCTAAAGAAGATATGAAACTAATTGAAGACTTGGAAGGACAGGAAAATGAAAAGGGTTGGATAAAAAGACCTGATGGGCGAGTAGTGATTCCCCTATAATCAATTATGGAAGTTGATACAAGAAGAACATAACAAAACTCATTGGGGAAGTAACGCCTTGTATAAACATTTAAACAAACAGATCATAGGAAGAAATTTATATACCATAGTGCAATTAGTGACAAAACAATGTCAACTATGTCTGAAAAATAACCCTAAGATTGAAAACAGGAATCAGGTAGGGACAACTGGAAAAGCGAATTATCCAGGATAACAGTGGCAAATAGATTTTTCTAAATTACCTAGGAAAGGAGGTTATCGATATTTGTTGGTATTGACAGATACTTTTGCAAGGTGGCCAGAAGCATTCCTTTGCAAGCCAAATAATGCAAGACAAGTGATTAAGGTGCTATTAAATGAAATAATACCTCATTTTGGGGTATCGGCCACTATCTCCTCTGACCACGGTACACATTTCAGTGCAAAATCATTACAAGAAATCAGCAAGAAACTGGAAATAGATTGGCAACTGCATGTTCCGTACAGGCCTCAGGCCAGTGGGTAAGTGGAAAAAATGAACCACTTAATTAAACAACAGCTTGGGAAGATCTGTCAAGAGGCTAAGTTGTATTGGTATCAAGCATTACCATTGGCTTTATTGAGAATCAGAACAAAACCTCGGTCAAAGGAGGGAATTAGCCCATTTGAGATTCTATATGGAAGGCCATATCAATCTCAATTTAAAGGAGAGAACCTTCAAGAAGTAGGAGGACACCTTCAACAGTTCTTGGTAAACTTGGGAAAACAGAAGAAATAAATCTCAGAGTGTTAGGGACCAGGGCCAGAGGTTTAGATTATTCTGTTTACCCTTTTTAAGTCATGAGATTGGGTTTATATTAAGAATTTTGCAGGTGATCCCCTACAAGAGGAGTGGAGTGGACCATACCAGGTATTACTGACTACCTTTACAGCAGTGAAGATAAAAGAACAACCTGCTTGGATACACTATTCAAGAGTCAAGAAAGCACCAGAGCCAGAGGAGATATGGTGAGTTGAGTCTTCAGGAGCCACACATGCGAGATTGCATTGACCAGTATCTGCTCTTGTATATAACTCAGTTCCAAAAGAATTTGCAATAGGACAAGAAAAAGGGGGGATTGAAGAATGGGGTTGATAGAAGAATAGGGTGGATTGAAAAATGGGGTTGACTGAAGAATAGGGTTGTAAATAAGTAAATTCAAGGATGTTACGCTTTGTTAGCAAGTATAGAGAAAAGGAAATGACTAAGTTGTCAGAACCCCCTGGTGGTTACTGATAAGACAAAGATCCTAAAACCAAGTGATGAAGAAACAACGACCAGGGGTCCCAAAGCCCACTGCCACATTTTAGTGTGCATGCAGGAGGCATTCTCCAGAAGTATGATGTATGTAATCTAGTAAGTATGTATGTATAAGGACAATGTAATCACAGCCTGATTGATGCTTGGATGAGACACACTAGGAGGAGCTATCCCCCGTGTCTCCGAGCGCCACAATAAAGAATACCTGCTTGTCAGCTCGAAAACTTTGTTGGCGAGTTCCTGGAGATTTCTCTGAATCACTGAACTCAAACTAAGCGTACACGCCCCTTGTAAAGGACTTGAGTTTCTACTTACAGACACCGCCTCAGACCAACAGGAAAGGATGTTCTCCTAACGGATTTGAAGCTTTTTCTCCCTTTTAGCCTACAGCACTGCCTGCCTTGCTCCAACCACCACCCTGGCCGTTTCCTAGGGACTCAAGGAGCACGCACATCTTGAAGACTGGGCCCTACGACAGCGTTAACCTCTCAAAATGCCTGGGATGCGGGTGCGTTTGTTAATTTCTGACAGCTTCCATGACGATCGCACCTCGGCACGACCCCTCACGGCCTCAGCCCCTTCGGCCACTGAAGACGTGCGAAAATCCCCGATTTCAGCCCGCGTTCTGGGCCGCTGGCCTTCGGACCGCGGGCCACCTAAGGGTGGCCCCTGAGATGCAGCAGGAGGCCCCTGTGCCCACCGTTTCGGCGCTGCCACCTCCCACGGCCGGCTGCCAGCTCCCCAGGCGGGAAGGGAAAGGCGAGCTGCTTCCCGTACACCTCACGCACCGCCCATCGCGGCCGCCGCGCGGTGATGACGAAACCGCGTCGCGCGACTCGAGGTTCGCCATGAAGCCGTCGCCGGTCTCGAACTGCGAGCGACGCTTCCTCCTGCGCGCCATCGAGGAGGGGAAGGTGCGGTCCCGGCCTCCCCTTCCCCCAGCCCCTGCAGCGGCCACGGCCTCCCCTTCCCCACCCCGCGGGAGGCTGGCGCTGCCCCTCCGGCTCCTCGAACCGCAGGGGGGTGGCGTGTTAACCTGGTGTGTGTGTGTCTCTGGGCCCGCAGCGCCTGGACGGGCGGCAGTGCTACGACTACCGGAACGTGCGCATCTCCTTCGGCACCGAATATGGCTGCTGCATCGTGGAGCTGGGCAAGACAAGGTTGTGAGCGGGGCTGCGAGAGGGCACAGCATACCGCCTGAGGGAGGGGAAGGCATTTGGGCGTTGTGTTTCCGAACGTGTGGAGGCAAAATCTCCGTGGCGTTCAATGTGAAGTGTCCGAAAGCCTGCCGAGAGAGATCGCAGTAAACAGAGCTTAAAGGCCGGGGGGGGGGGGGGGGGGGAAGGAAGAGGGAAGGGATGGGCTTGCTGTGATGGTTGTAGTTTAAAAATAGTATATATAAGACAAAATTATTATAGTTTTTCATCCTTTTAGTTGCCGATTTCATGTTATGTGTTCTGCGAATCAAACTGCCTTTTTTGTATGTGGGGAAGTGGAATAACATGCGCTTACATAAGCGTTTAGGAGTAGATTGTCATGTGTTTGAGTCTATTTTTAATCCTCAGAGACAGTAAAATGTTTCGATTCCTACATTTCCTGCTATGAGTTATTGACCAGAGTTTAAATATGTATGACAGGCATTAAACAAGAAACTGACGGGAGTGAGAAATACAAACTAAAACCCTAACTGCATGCTTTTTCAAAGTATATAGTTTGTTTCTAGTGATAGGGTTTTTTTCCCAGCTAACTTCTGTGACTTAGTGGTTTATTTACCTTTGCAGGGTTCTTGCACAAGTATCATGTGAACTTGTTCCCCCCAAGCCAAATAGGCCGACAGAAGGTATACTTTTTGTTAATCTTGAGCTCTCACCGATGGCCGCACCTGGTCTTGAGCCTGGCAGGTATGTAGCTCTCTTAAAGAGCCTAGGCAGGTGTGACAGAAGAGCCACTGGCATGGTTGCCCATGGCAAGGGGGTTGGAACTAGATGATCTTAAGGTCCTTTCCAACTCTAACTATTCTATGATTCTATGATACAAGAAAGTATAGAGTGTAATCATACTTGGTTGGGGTTAATTTTGTTTTGACAGGCAGTCTGACTTACTGGTGAAACTAAACAGACAAATAGAGCGATGCCTGAGAAATTCCAGATGTATAGATACTGAATCTCTCTGCGTTGTTGCTGGTGAAAAGGTATGAAAACCCATGAATTTCAAGTGGGTTTAAACTAAAAGGTGCATATACTCTTTTTTTTTTTTTTTAGATGGTCCTTGTTTTGAAAGATAGAAATTCCTATTGTAGGTTAATGTGAGGATCCACACATCTGACTTTACAGGCATTTTCTACTGACGTGTCTACATAGGCTTTCTGAAGTAGTTGGGAGCCTGCACACTCAAATATTTTCTATGCAGAATGAAGTTTAACTTATGCTTAAGTGTTACATATTTTGTCATAATTAAATCTGGCACACTGGTTATCTTGGAATATACTGAAATCATAGAGTCATAGAATTGTTTGGGTTGCAAGGGACCTTAAAGATCAGATCATTCCAACCCCCCTGCCATGGGCAGGGATACCTCACACTAGACCAGTTTGCTCAAATCCTTCATCTTCTTAAACAAAGATCTGAAGAACATGTGATGGTGGTTCTTATGGTTCAGAAAATGAAATTATTTGGAAAAACAGTAACTCCTATAGAATCCTGTCACACACGACCAACCAGTTATGTATGGTTTCTTCTCAGGTTTGGCAAATTCGCCTGGACATGCACCTGTTAAATCATGACGGTAACATTATTGATGCTGCCAGCATAGCAGGGATTGTAGCTCTGTGTCATTTTCGCAGACCAGATGTGTCTGTGCAAGGAGAGGAAGTAACTGTGGTAAGTTATACTGGTTTACATGTGGCATCTCAGGTAGCTCTTCGTTTCTAAAAGGGAGAATTAGATGTTTGGGTAAGCAGATAAACTCCAAGGTACGTAAGTTTTAGGATAGATATGTTGCTGTTCCAGAATTGTGAGGGTAGTGAGGAAGCCTGCTGAATACAGAATTTTAGCAATATCAGTTTATGGGAATATTGATTGTAAAAGATCAAGTATTTTACAGTATTTCAACCAGGTATAAGATGATGAAGATGCTGTATTTACCTGTGTGGGTAGTAAAGGGTAAGAACTGCACAAAAAGCATAGAAAGAATTTTTGAAATATTTATATGACAAAACATTTGTTGGCATTTTTGTTTGTTTTTTCTTATTTTTTAAAATGTCTTTGTACAGTATGTGATTTGAAAATTAGGTGTGTTTTGTAAGTAATTATCTTCTGGGCAAACTCTTTTTGAAGTATACTCCTGAGGAACGTGATCCTGTCCCCTTGAGTATCCACCACATGCCTATTTGTGTCAGCTTTGCCTTCTTCCAGCAAGGGTAAGATTTTTCAGTCTTTTGACAGAAACAACTTATTCTGCAGAATTGAATTTTAAACATAGAAGAGTCCTAAAAATATTTACATCGACAAGCCAGTTTCTTAAAACACTTTCTGAAGTGATAGACATGACAGAAATTTTTTTTTGGGGGGGTGAGGGGGTATACCTATAATTTCTAATACATAAACCAATTCCTTTGTTTAATTGTTTTAAGGGTAGTAACTTGCCTCAAGCTTTTACTGTTGCCTTATCTTTAAAAACTTGATTATAGGACCTATTTATTAGTGGATCCAAGTGAACGTGAGGAACGTGTAATGGATGGTCTCCTTGTAATTGCCATGAATAAACATCAAGAAATTTGTACTATCGACTCTAGTGGAGGGATTGTGCTAGTAAAGGATCAGGTAAATCTTTGCCTTGGCCAGTCTCTCTTGTATATAAACTAGTTCCTGTGCTGTAATCTTGATATTGAAGTATCCTTCACATTTGGAAGCTAAGAAATCAATTACCTCTCTGATTCAATTGGAAAAAAAATACAGATTTTTAGTCCTAGTAGAAGAGCATAGTACTGTGTATCATGCAGATTGTTGGGTCAGATTTTTTTCCCCTGTGGGAGTCTGTAAATCAGTTCAGACTGCACTCTCATGAATAGCTGGAGGCTGTTACGTTAACCTTCTGCATCAACTCATAGTATATCCAAGTCCCTCCTACTAGGATGCTGTCTTTTATTTCAAGTGTTTGTGACTCCAATGATGTTCTACACTTTTAGTTAAAAAACATTTTGCTTTCATGATAGTAAACTGTTGTTATATGTATAACAAACAGGTTCTGAGATGCAGTAAAATAGCAGCTGTTAAGGTTGCAGAAATAACAGAACTCATTCAAAAAGCATTGGAGAATGACCAGAAAGTTAGGTGAGTGTTTTGGGAAGGAAGGGAAATGGGTGTTTTTTAAGAAACATACTAAAAAGTCAGCCTGTAGTTTGAACATCTGATTGCTTTCACTTGTATTTGTTTTAAGTAGCAAGTGTATATTTGAGCTTGAAAAGAGAAAGCATTTTTAAGTGTGCAACATCCTGAAAAAAATTAATGTCTTTGAATGACTAGGAAAGAAGGTGGCAAATTTGGCTTTGCAGAATCTATACCGGATCAAAAGATCACTGCCTTCAAAATGGAGAGTGCTGCTGTGGATACTAACAATGTGGAAGAACAAGCAGAAGAAATTATCACTAAAGCTGACCCTCCTTCAGAAGTGTATCTTTTCTGTTGTATTATTCAGGGGGAGGCCAGGCTTCCCGTCCCCTGCATTAGCACTAGAAACTAAACACACATCCAAGATTCCTCAGAGGTTAGGCAGCCTAACAGCCTTCAGAGGAAACGTCAACAGCACACTGGGTTTGGTTCTAATTGTAGGTAGCTTCATTCTTAGCCTAAAATGCAACACTAACGTCTGAAGTGATCACTTGTTACAGTAACTGGAAAAGTTGTACTCTCTCTCACTTCTCCTTTAAGGATGTTCTGCCCTGGGGAGAAAAGCTACAGCTTGAAAAAAACAAGTGGGTTGCTCTCAGAATATGTCAAGTTTACCAGCAAACACAGAGATTTTTCTTAACTAGTTCAGTTTTGCCAATCCAGTATTGTACACACCTGGGACAGCCCAAATTGGGGAAGGAATAGAGAACTCCTGGGGAGACTTTGAAGAATCGGAGAGGGAAGAAGCAGCAGAAGAGGAAGGTGAAGGTGATGCTACTGCCTTTGAATGCCAGAAAATGGAAACAGAGGATACAACTATGATGGAGGAAACTAAGACAGGTAAGCGTTTATCTTGTTATCACATGTGCTTCTTATATCATTTTACTAACAGTCTAGGATTAAAATGTGAAAGAAGTCCTTAGTAAGGAAGGAGAACCGTTGTAGCCACTTTCCACCTGAGTGACACATCTGCTACTTTCACTTAACCAGGTCAGTTGTTTTCTTCAAAGTAAATACCGATTTCTGTAGTATATGGAAGGCTCCAAATTGAACTGTAACCACACTGAATGTTTCTTGAAAAACCTTTGTCATGGTTTAAGACCAGCTGGTAGCTCAGAACCATGCAGCCACTTGCTCACTCCCCACCTTTATCCCTCCCAGCTTCCTGAGGGATGGGGAGAAGAATCAAACAAATGTAAACACCACGGGTTGAGATAAGAACAGTCCAATGGCTAAAGTATAATACAAAACTACTACTACTACCACTAATAATAATAAGGGAAGTACCAAGGGAGAGAATATAGAACTAAAAGGGGCAAACAAAAAGAAACCCCTCAACACAAGTTGCTCACTACCTGCTGACCAATACCCAGCCTGATGTGAGCAGCGATCTGGGCCTTCCAGGTGATGGTCTCCAGTTTATATACTGGGCATGATGTGCTTTGGCAGGAATATCCCCTTTGGCTAGTTTGCATAAGGTGTTCTCTCTCTGCTTCCTCCCGTCTTCCCATGCCCCTCTTCGTTGTCAGAGCATGAGATTGAAAAGTCCTTGATCGGGGTAAGCAGTACTTAGTAACAGCTAAAACAGCAGTGTGTTATCAGCGTTGTTCTCAGACTAAAGCCAAAACACAGCACTGCACCAGCTACTAAAAAGGAGAAAAATAACTGTTAACAGCTGAACCCAGGACAGTGCACTTGTTACTTGTTACAGAAGTTTGTACAAAAATGATCACAGGTTTGTGGTTGGTTGATTTGTTTTAGATGAACCTATTCTGTTGTCGGACAGTGAAGAGGAAGAAGTTGTCATTCTACAACCACAGGAACTACCAAAGAAAACAAGGTGACCATTATTTGAAATTGGGAGGGGAAAAAGGTTCATAAGGAGTATTTTCAGGGAGTATAGGATTTGGCAAGGCCAAGAAAGGTTTCAGTTGATCGGGGGGACTACAAAGATAGGAGAGAGTGAGGAATTCTAAATCCAGGCTAGTTTGCTCCTGTCCCAGGAAGCCAGTTATCCTCATCCTGGCTGCCCTGCAGCCAGATTAAATGCTTATATAACTAATGGTTCCAAAGGGAGTGAGAGCATAAAACTGGAGTTGCAGGAGCTGCTCTGTAGAGGATATCCTGCAGATATCCTACTACCTCTTAAATTAATTTTGCGCTTGTACTGCATTTTAAGTTTTATGTCCCAGAAGTGAGATTGATTACAGTAGCTCTGCGCTAGCCATAGAAACCCTTGTATTGTGTTTTGCACTGAGCATGGTGGATGGTTGCCCTGTTACAGGCGATCAGCCTGTGTTTTCTTGAAGTAAAACCATTCAGTACATTTCTGTGATAAAAGTGTTGTTTCCTCATAGAGCACAGACCAACCTGAAACAAGGAAATACAAGTAAGAAAGCATTTATCAAAAGGAGAAAAAAGAAGAGAGCTGCTCATTAGAGCCGTCATCCTTCCTTCAGAAATGCTGTATAATTCATAATTTGGTTTGTTGTTACCGAACTTAGTTCTGTAGATAATTCTACATCCTCCCAATCCATATGTAGTTCTGCTTTTGTGTATATGTTATAAAATTGTACACACCTTTAAATACATAAATAAAAAGCATGAAAGTGAAATTCCACAGTTAGCACCCAGCTACACCAGTAAACTCGCTCATTTGAGATCGACAGTGTGAACGGCAGAGGTAAGATGTGTTGCTATTCTTAACAAAGCTGCCTGTGCCGTTTATGTAGTGAGCTGCACCCAGTTACAGTTCAGGTGGTAAAAAGGATTTATGGCTTCGGTTTAATGCCAGGAAAAAGCTTTTTAAATTTTTTTAATTATTTTTTAGTTCAGGCACTGCTCTTGGAATTGGTGAACAAGCAGTCATTTGTGACATGTTCTGCAGACTGCCAAACTCATTAATGCTAACACCAAATTTTCATCCTGGGTTTTTCTTGGCAGATAGAAACAGGAAAAAAAAAACACTGCTTCTATTTGCCTTTCTCATTTCTTTCCTCCTGATCGCTTGCCATCTCATTGTCAACACTGAGGTCTGGAATTGCAGCAGAAGTCCATCCCCATTTCAAGAGATTTCCATGTCTTACGACTTCTCCCTCTGGTTCCATTTTTACCACAAAATTGGCTCCCACTACCATCCAAAGCAATCTCCGTTCTCCACAGGCTTGAAAAGGATACACAAAATTAGAGCAATTTCTGAGTCAATCTGGACATCTTATCACATCCCTCTGGATAATTTTCCACCACCGTGGGGCTTTCTTCACCCTACTCTAGTGCTCCCATGCTTGTGACTCAGCTCTCTCGATGGCAAAAGGGCCAGCGGGCGGGCCGGAGGCCATTTTGAATTGCTTTCCTCACCTATTTTACTAATCTGCCTTTTCAAAGGTTGATTCGTTCTTTCGACTTTTCCACTCCATTGCGGCCTCTGAGGCGTACGGAAGTCCCAGGTCATTCCCAGCCTTTTACTAACGCCCTCTACTAACCAATTCTGCAATGCAGTGTGGACCTGTAGCCCAAGATATTCCGATAGGCACCCCAATTCTTGGCAGAAGTTCCTGCAACAGCCACTTAAGGACTTTTTTCGCTTGACTGCTCCGACAGGCAGAGACTTCTGGCCACCCTGCAAAAGCGTCAGCCCCAACCAAAATGGACCCATCCCCGTTTTGCCGAGGTACTTGTGAGAAAGCTACTTGCCGAGAGCCTCCCGCTTCCATTCCCGGTTTCAGGATTCCCTTTTGAAATGTTGTCTTTATAAGCGGAGTGGTTTTCGAACCTGTTGCACGTTTTGCGGATGCCAGTTTTGCTCTTTCTAGCGTTTGGCCTGATCCTGCGTGTCTCTTTGAAAGGGCTGCTCATGCTTCTGCTCCACGGGGACATTCTTCCTGCTTTGTCTGCATGCTTTCCCTCCCTCTAAACCCTCCCGCTGGGATTAGTAGTTGGGCGTGCGAGGCTCCCAGCAAGGTGGCACGCGCGCCCCCCTTGTGCGGACCTGCCCCTCCTCCTGCAACTGCCCACCCGCACCCCCGTCCGCCGAGAAAAAGGGGGCCGCTCCCGCGCCTGGCAAAAGGCTCCAGCAGCCGGGAGCGGCAGGAGATCTGCCGGACAGGCACTGACCGAGCCCGACCCTGCTTAGCTTCCGAGATGAGACGAGCTCGGGCCTTCTCCGTGCCCCTGGGGGGGGGGGGGGGGGGAGCACAGCGCTCTCCGCCACACTCCCGCCCCGCGTTCCGAGCCCAGCGGCCCACGGCACCGGCAGGATTGTGACGCAGGCCCGCCCTGCGGCGAGCCCCGCCCCGCAGCACCCCTCGCCTCGCCTCGCCTCGCCGCAGCAGCCCCACAAGGTAAAAAAAAAGGGGTCCGGCACGGCCTGGCAAAAGCCTACAGCACGCGGCCTTCCGCAGATCGTGGCCTCCCTTGCGCGGCCGGAGCCGAGGCCAAGGCAGCTGTCCCATCCTTGGACTAACCGAGCCCTACCCAGCTTAGCTTCCGAGAGCTGACGGGATCGGGCGCATTCAGGGTGGTGCCGCCGTAGGCCACTAGGACCCCTCCAGCGACGCGTTTAGGTCTCCCCCGACGCGCCGCGCCCCGGCCCAGCCCCACAGCCCCACCGGCTCACGGCAGCGAGTGGTGACTGACGCGCCCCGGCCCCGCGAGCACCACCACCCCCCCCCCCCCCCCAGCCCGTGTGCCCAACTCCGATCAATTCTATCTTTCACGTAGGCACAAAGCCCATGCGCTTCCACTAGGAGCATCTCCAAAGCACTTCTGCTTTGTAAAGCCGCCCCTGAAGAAGTTGCCTCTCACTGTCAGGTCCTTCAAGCCTTTTCTGCTTGCATTTGCTAGCCTTTCTACTTGTCCCGTTAGCTGAGAGATGCATTCCCTCTTCTCCTGTGTTGCTAAGGCAGTCAGCAAAGACTCCGAAGCCCAACCAACTTGCACTCCAGCCGAAAGTTCAAGTTTCTAATGCTGCCCTAAAAGGAGTTCTTTTCCACCTTGGACTTGGAGTCGGCATGCCTCACGTTATTTCTCTCCCTTTACCACCTAGGAGGGAAATGAGTTGTCCAGGTCCCATCACCCACCGTCAGCACTAAGTGGCCTGGGCTGCGCAGTGCAGATTTCTTTGCAACTAAGAAGCGGTCCTCTTTGGGGAGCGCATGCCTCAGTCAAGTTGAGGTCATTCCTCGGGCCCCTACGCAAACAGCCGTGTTTCAAAGCAGCAGCTAAAGGAGGACTAGTAGCCTGGATCGCCATAGCCGTGCCATTACAATTAGATGCCTTTTCACACTTCTACCAAGGCACTCCCTTTTCCTTTTCTCGCCACCAACTACTCTTCTTTCCCTTTGCCCCCATTGCCAAAGTCATTCCATCCCAAATACAACACCAAGGTGCCTTAGCCGTGGACTGAAATGGAGATAAAATGGCCATAATCCACCACAGAGCCCTGCTTTGCCTCCCTGTTTCCTGTCAGACTTCCCTCATTACATTTCCATTCCATGATCATTCAACCCATTTTTTTTTTTTCATCATAGCAACACCATCCCATGATCTCAGATCTCCCTAGTTTGGTAAAAAAATAGTTTAACAGTTCCTCACAGGCAGCCCGGCTACCTGGGCATTTTCACTCTTTCTGAACGGTTGCCTTTTGTCATTGCCGTGCAGCCACAGGGTTTTGTTCTTGAGCTGTGCTTTCATTTTTTCTTAAAATAGTCAGATTCGTAGTTAAAATTCCCCATGGGATTGATAGCTATTGTCAGCCCTTGGAAGCGTTCCATACCTTATCCTTGGTGCCATCTTAAGGCATATCAAGGATAAGAGGGTTATGAGGGGCAGTCAACATGGCTTCACCAAGGGGAAGTCATGCTTGACCAATCTCGTAGCCTTTTATGAGGAAATAACACGGTGGATGGATGATGGCAGAGCGGTGGATGTGGTCTACCTTGACTTCAGCAAAGCGTTTGACACGGTCTCCCACAGCATCCTTGCGGCTAAATTGAGGAAGTGTGGTCTGGATGATCGGGTAGTGAGGTGGACTGTGAACTGGCTGAAGGAGAGAAGCCAGAGAGTTGTAGTCTATGGGGCGGAGTCTAGTTGGAGGCCTGTATCTAGTGGAGTGCCTCAAGGGTCGGTACTGGGACCAGTATTATTTAATATATTCATCAACGATTTAGATGAGGGAATTGAGTGCACTATCAGCAAGTTTGCTGATGACACTAAGCTGGGAGGGGTGGCCGACACGCCAGAAGGCTGTGCTGCCATCCAGAGGGACCTGGACAGGCTGGAGAGCTGGGCGGGGAATAACTTGATGAAATATAACAAGGGAAAGTGTAGAGTCCTGCATCTGGGCAGGAACAACCCCAGGTTCCAGTATAGGCTGGGGAACGACCTGTTAGAGAGCAGTGTAGGGGAGAGGGACCTGGGGGTCCTGGTGGACGACAGGGTGACCATGAGCCGACACTGTGCCCTTGTGGCCAAGAAGGCCAATGGCATCCTGGGGTGTATTAGAAGGGGGGTGGTTAGTAGGTCGAGAGAGGTCCTCCTTCCCCTCTACTCGGCCCTGGTGAGACCTCATCTGGAATATTGTGTCCAGTTCTGGGCCCCTCAGTTTAAGGACAGGGACCTGCTGGAGAGAGTCCAGCGCAGGGCAACTAAGATGATTAAGGGAGTGGAGCATCTCCCTTATGAGGAAAGACTGAGGGAGCTGGGTCTCTATAGTTTGGAGGAGATTGAGGGGTGACCTTATTAGTGTATATAAATATATAAAGGGGGAGTGTCACGAGGATGGAGCCAGGCTCTTCTCAGTGGCAAACAATGATAGGACAAGGGGAAATGGGTACAAACTGGAACACAAGAGGTTCCACTTAAACTTGAGAAGAAACTTCTTCTCAGTGAGGGTGACGGAACACTGGAACAGGCTGCCCAGGGAGGTTGTGGAATCTCCTTCTCTGGAGGCATTCAAAACCCGCCTGGACACGTTCCTGTGTAACCTTATCTAGGTGTTCCTGCTCCGGCAGGGGGATTGGACTAGATGATCTTTTGAGGTCCCTTCCAATCTCTAACATACTGTGATACTTCGGAGTGTTCTTCAAGGTACAAATGGTATGCCTTGGCTAAGTCCTAAATGCCCATGTCATGTCACTCCTTATCTTTCACTGCTTCGTATTACAAAAAACAAAGCAAAAACAACAACAAAAAAAACCCAACAAATGCATGTACTTAACAAAGTAACATCAAACTTCCACAAAGCCCTCATAGAGAAGCAAATCATACTTCAGCAATGGAGTTTCTTAGAAAATTTAATTAAATATTACATGCAACAGACAAGAATGCTTCTTGAGCTCTGTTCAAAGAATTCTGCTCTGGATCTAAGTTGTGCAAACCAAAGAGACAAGGAAGTTTCCAACATGTCTGAGTCTTGTTCAAAAATCAAGTCCAGCTGGGAACGTGCACAAGTAGGCCTATTTTACGTGTGACATTAGCATTTCATGACATAGAAACGTGCTGAGTCACTGGTGCAGATGTTACATTCCCTAAATCAGGTTTAGAATTTAATTTAAACAAATAAAAAAGAATGCTTCCTGGCCAAGTAGAGCTTTATTCCATTTGCGCTCTTCCAAAAAGGGACAAAACTAGAAAGCCCCGTTTCTCCAGGAGCTAAACCAGGACTAAACCCCTACATCTTCCTCATGTTGCTTCTTCCAACCCAGAGTTGCTGTTGGCAGTATAGGAATAAGGGAAGGTTCCGTTTCTTGTTACTTCTGTACTGCCATGAGACCTTAAACTTCTTCGTACTGCTGTTTCTCTTCACACACATCTCATACCGTACGTACATTGCTTAGAGGCTTTACATTGGAGGGAGTAGGAGGAGTTAAACTGGATAAGCAAAACAGTAGTACAGTACAAGCTGGGGTATTTTATTGAAAGTTTAAGAGCCAGAGCTGGAATCAGTCTATATTAACTTCACAAAATTAGAGGGTGAGCGAGGATGGTGCTTGCTGCAGCTGCAAGAGATGTCAGTAACGAGGGGGGCAGGGGCACCAGCCCGTGTCTGAAGCCTTTAGGCTGAAGTCTTAGTGGTATACCTGAAAACAGAGCTCAAGAACGAGGACATTTCTTTGGGCTATGGAAAAAGTAACAGAACAGCTTCCATCGAAAATGGAGCAAGGAGGCATTTCATTAAGCAGTAATAAATACAATAAACCACTTGGGTCCTGTCATTTAAGTACTGCTACTACTCTTTTCTGGGGAAAAGAATTGATTAGCTTCCTATAAATTACTCCTCTTCCCATGTTCATATTTGTCAGTGCTCTTGGAAAGTTTCCAGTAATATGCCACAAAAAAAAGGGAGGGGAAGGAAGAACCCAGTGGTTGCCCATGAAGAGTGCTGTGCTCTGTCATCTTCAAAGCATAATGGGCGGCAGCCAGTATTCTGAGTTGCCCTTCCAAGTTCACAAACTGTGGCAAGCACATTCCTGCGTATACAGACTCCATTTCCTGCAAGGGTACAGCATTTCTAACATGGAGCACCACACAGGATCTACTGCACGTTTTTCTTCCAACTAGTTTTAGCCTTTCAGTGGCAACGTACTGAAATTAAACTGAAAGGCTATTGGAAAACATGATAGACCAATGAAACATGTTCATTAAATGTTAGAACATTCTAAAAGTCAAAGTGCATCTTTAAAATCTCAGGTTGGCCAAAAAAGGCAGCTTCTGCTGCATTCTTTTATTGGGACCAGGAAAGCTACCATCGCTTGGGTCAGTTTTGTAATAGAGCTGGTTTGTGGAGGGCTTAGACTGCAGCACAGGGGTAGGGGCAGAACAGCAAATTTTTAGTTGCGATGTGCAAGTTAGCTCACTGTAACACGTGCTTCTCAGCTTTGACAGAAATTACAATTGTTTAATGTTTCTTTTCAATAGCTTATACCATAACAGCTGTTCAGCAACTGTGAAGAGTTTATCCCAGCACCTGCTGGGTGTCCAGACAGTGTAGAATCAATTTCAAGTTGAAGGGGCACAGGTTTCACAGGGCAGCCCTTGAAAAAAACTTAAAAAAATGAATGCCAATTTAAGATGATAGTATTACCCCTCACTGGCTTCAAGTTATTGGTAAGACCATTAACATCATATGTAAAAAAAGGTTTATTAGGAAACCTGGAAGTGGCTCAGTTAACCCACTTACATGTACTCATTGCTTTACACACAAAGAACAGCACGTACAGGGGAGCACCACTCCATTTACATGGGTTGAAGGTGAACATCCACTCGATGTAATGCCAATTAGATGCTAGTTTGCTCCTGTAACAGTTCCAAAACTAAGGAAAAATAAGACCAGTTGGCCTACATTTTTGCTGCATGCCACAGGGGAACATTCCTTTCCAAGCAAGAGAAGTGTACAGAATTGGTACCATTCCATACACAGCCCATCCACACCAGAACATCCCCTCCTCTTGAAGGCATGGAGCAGTACTTCACCCTCTTGCAGTTTAATCCCTCCACTGCCCCTAAAGAGGCACTCAGTAAGCAGACCAATGACTAATTTTAATAGATATTAATGGGCTTTCAGGACAGCTAATATAGCAGTGGGAACTCCATGAGTTTAAATTACTATTAGTTTTACAGTTTGACTCAAAAATACCTATTACAAGACCATTTTCTACTGGAAGAAATAAGTATGACCTGATGTAGCAGTTCTAGCTGTGCAGTCCCCTCCAGCAAAGCATTCAAACTTTAACCTGATGGAAATCTGACATTACATTACACAGCAATAAAAACTTCCAGTGGCTAGCACATCCTAAAGTGTCTCACCAGAGTCAATTCCAGCAATGTTTTCTCCTTGTAGGTATACAGTTTCTTCCAGTATTACAGCCATTAAACCACGTTCTGGAACCTATACTAAGTCTCAGTTTAAACTAGACACTATACAAAAAAAGCTACAAATACTGCTGTGGAGTCCAAGTCATTCTTACCTGGAAGGAGGCAAAGCCCTACTCTTATGAGGCACTGCTAATATTAATGTTTAGTCTATAATCACATAAGCTGTCTCAGACTTCATTTGGTCAGACTTTGCATGGTTAATTCTGTGCTTGAAAGGAATGTTTGTATAAAACCCCAGCTAAATATTTTAACAAGACTGCATGTACAAAAGATTTACATTAAAAACATGTAAAGCTAACTTTAGTTAAGGCTCATGAAAACCTGTATTAATATTCCGAGTGATCACATCTGCAATTTTGAGCCATATTTAAAACTGTACATTCTTTTCTTGTAATATACATAGTAAGAACAGTCTTTTGATTATTACAATACGTTTAGTGTCTCTGGTGGGTCAATAAGCGATACTCCATGGTACCTAGAAAAGGGGAAAAGAAAGATGCAGGATGTCATCTTGCTCAAGTGCTCTCTGACATACAGAATAGCTAAGTACTGCAGCAAAGCACATTGCTCACAAGGCAGGAAACATTTGGGGCTTGTCAGCTTCAATGGTGACACAGGTTTTTAGATGCATTAGGTACCATCTCCTGCCTACCAACTGTGGGAACATCAAGAAAATTGCTCCAGTTTCTACCATTTGGGTAGTGATAGCAGCCCTGCTGAACATGAAGTACTGCTCAACAGAACACTGCAAAAACCTGAGGAGTCTTGTCACCATCTTGCTGACTTAATAGATTTGGTTAGTTGAGTCTCAAGACTCAAGATAACACCCAACCCCTCTCCTCCCCTCCATTAAGCAGTTATGTGCTAGGATAACTTGGGTATACATACCAACTCATCACACATCTCTACAGATACTCACTTTGTACTCTTGTACTTTTCCCTTATGGACTGTTGTGTGTGCTGTGCTGCTTTGAGGTAGGTCTTGTGTAGGTCCAGGAGGCAAGGCTTGATGTCCTCGAGGGAGTAGCCTGTTACTTTGCACAAGGATTCAGGCTGATGGAAAAAGGAAAGAAACCTTTTAATGTTTCTGCTCACTTACACCAACAGCCACTGGTGAAGATTTAACTTGCTTGTGAAACTGTTGTTCCAGAGCACTGTTTTCTCAAGCATTAAGTAGTTTAATACTCATTGATCAGATTTTTAGCAGTTCATGTAAAGTAATCCTGAAAACTATCATCTTGTAAACAAGTATTCCTCGCCTCCTTCAGCTTTCTTATCACCCACTTCCTCATCACAAGCAAGCTGCTTACAGCTTTGAGAATGATCAACAGAATGGAGTGCATCAATAGATGCCTCTTCCAAGCGGTGTATGTGCCTCCCATTTTTCAATTACCACAAATAGCAATCCAGAATTAACAGCCAGAGAGTGCAGAGGGGCAGCGATTCCTGCAGCCCAAGCCCCAGCATTCAGAACCTACCAATACACTAGACACACATAAAGGTGTGTGGTGACTCGAGTTCAGTGTTACATACCCAAGTTTGTCCAGTGATAGTATAGCCTGCTAGATGAAACGCTGCAGCAGCAATAACTGATGGCAAGTATTTCAGGTAAGGATCAGCATCAATTAGACTCAGCTCTCCAAGGTACTGCAAGGGAAATGAGAGTAAGGGGAATCATCTGCTTCCAAAAGGAAGTAGAAGGGACTTTAAATAGTTGCACTAGAACCCTCACTTAAGCTTCCAATCCTGCTATTAGATGGGGCACAACTTTTACTAGTGTCCACTTACTTTCTCTTTTAGCATTGACTGTTGGCTACTGTCAAAAAAGCATTCCCAACCTGTATTTTTTCAATACCAGATTTTATATGTAGAGGTTATTTTTTAATCCAGAAGGCAAATTGTAGTCAGGCTTGACCTTCACACAGTGAGACAAAGGCTTCTATCTGGGAGCTCTGGTACTGGCCACAGAATTAGGATTTAATATAACTGTAGCCAAAATGTTACCTGTGCTGTGCTTAAGAAACCAGCCTCTGGATTTAAAGCTCACTGCTTACTGAAGGGGAAACCAAAGCACAAGTCCTTTTTTGCCAAAGTAGGTGGGTAGGTGTGGCAGCTTGAGATAAAGAAAGAAACATCTAGCAGTGAAACAAACCCCAAATTAAAGTTGAATCTCTGCCTGCTCTGATTAAGTGGGCATGCTGGAGCTGGGCAAGTATAAGCCTGTGACAGGAATGGAGCATTTCAAACAGTGCATGGTGACAGAAGCATTAATTTCCAGTGATGTAGCACCACTGCTGGAGAAGCATATATAAAACTGTACAAGCTCTCCAGAGCTCTCCCAGAGACTACACATTTAAAAGGAGGAGGCAGGGAAGCCTGGGCTGGAGAATCCTTCAGCATTTCTACTGGGACTAGGGAACAGAGCTTGTAAACTTTGTAGTCATACAGGTCAAGCTAGTAATTCTTACTTACCATTGATAGGCTCTCCACTTTAGGATTTGTCTGCTCATGTAGGAAATACTGAGTGAGGAACTGGATGATTGTTGGAGCTGCCAAGTCAAATGACAAAACCTTCAAAATTAAGTGCTCCATTCTTAGAACCTGCTTCTTGGTGTAGGTGTCATCTGTGATGTAGACAAACTCCGCTACTTCAGGAGGGTAGATTTCTTCAAACTTCCTGCCAGGAGAAGTAGTTATGAGCAAATAATCAAATACTAGAAAGCCAGATAAGTAGCAACACATAACAAAAGCCAGCATCCTACTTTGAATTCTGACCTGTGAAGTAGCTGGGCACTATTACTGAACAAGTTTGCTGCACTTGGTTCTATAGCTCTTGAATCAGCAGAATTACAGAGCTACAGTAGCCTGTTATGTTAGCACTAAGCAATCTGGCACTCAGTTACAGAAATTCCACAACAACCCATGAAACTAACATTCGGTGTAAGCAAAACTTTCTTTCACATGCCTTGTGCATGCGAAACATGCACAAGTAACTGTTCAGAAGCTGCCTGCTGCTGCACCTAGAAATGATGAATCCTCACCTGAGGGCCATCTACAAAGACACCCTAGAACCTTGCTTGAAAAGTTTCATATAAATTACCCAGCTTTTAGGTGGACAACTCCCAGTTTGTCTTCTAGTGTGAAGCCCTCCCATGGCTATAGTATTTCTGGTGCCCGTAGCCAGACATGCCATAGCCAAAGGATTCAATCTGTACAAGGCCAGTAGGTGGAATTTTAAATTCAGCAATCTCACTTACGATGCAAGCAGCATAGCCGCTGTACCCACAAGCTGAAGTTTTCCTCTCAAAACAGACATGGAAGAAAGAAACCTATCAATGTAATTTACAGCTAAGTGCAGGGTTTCATTCTGCAATTTGTATTCTTCTCCAACTTCCACCAGCCAGTCCACAAGAATGGCCCGCATGTTGTTTGTAATATCAGGTTGCTTCTTCATGTAACCCATTCTAGGCTTGCACTTCACCTGCAGGTTTAGAAGACAGGTAAGATTGAGTTTGGACTACGTGCTGGTAGGGAAACAACTGTTTAAGATCTATTTACCACAATTTAAGCAGACCAGAAGTAATCAAGGATAATATTAGGCTCAGTATATTACATTTCCATAATCTGGCTTTCCAACTTCAGTTCATGGCACAATCAATCAATTTGATCACAAGAAACCAATCTCATATTCATACAAGTGGACACAGCAACTTATTCCTCCATTTCTAGCAACTTTTAATTCAGTCACTGTAGTAGTAATTAATGTTTACATCCATTTCTCAGCCTCAAATCTCTCCCCCGTAACCTGTACACAAATAAATAGAGCAGCTCACCTCCATTTCTCTAAGGTATGCATGGATATCGCTGATATAGTCTGGTATATTATTAACATTTGTTTTTTTCTCTTCTGCTTCTGAGGTTATTGAAATATCCATAATACTTGGAGAATCTAAGCAGAAGATAAAAAAGCCATATTAAAAGGGGGCCCATAAGACCACTCTCTCACAGCAGAGGGAACTACCCTGTTGATTGAAAAACTGCTTTATTGTAATGGCATGCTCAAAGAAAACTAGTTTTAGGAACCGGAAAGGGATCTTCTGGGTCGAACCAAACCAGTCTCTGTCCCCTACAGTCTCCAGTTTGCTCTGGAGACGCCTTCCGAGATCACACCTGCGTAGGAACCCGCTCGCCCCCAAGCTGTCCGGGAAAAGGCCCTGCGGTCTCGGGCACTGCAATAGGAGCAAACGGGACGAGGCCCACAGGCCCACATCAGGAGGCCAGGCCAGCACCGCACTCCCGGAGGGACGCCAGCCGATCCTTGGGCAGGTGGTGCTCTGGGCTGCCGGAGCCTCAGGATGGTGGGGGGGAACTGTTGGCACATACCGAAGCTCAGCTCCATGGCGTTGCCCAGGGGTGCCAGAGGCCGCCGCTCCCCGAGGGCGCAGACAGCCGCACGAAGACCCAGCGAGGTCTCTTCTTTTCGGGTCGCCGGGCTACCCCGTCGCCGCTGCTGCTGCTCCCCATCCGGCTCGTCCACATGGATGGCGAAGGGCTGCTGCCCACCACCCAGCCGCCCCGCCGCCGCGCCATGGCTCTCGCCGCCGCGCCGCCCCGCCTGTGTGGAGAGCGGCCCATCAGCACCGTAGAGAGCCCGGTCCAGCGCTGACACCCTCCGCCGCCCCAGCTCATCTCACCCCGTACCGCGCTCGCCCACACCCGCTGCCCCACTCACCTGCGGCAGGAGCCCGGGCCGCTGCTGGGCGCTCCTCAGCAGCCCCAGCACCACGCGGGTGCCGCCGGCGGCTGGCTGCGGCGCTTTGGCGCCTGGAGGAACGTTCTCCTGGTTCTCCTGCCCCGCCAACATGGCCGCAGGAGGAAGAGAACAACCAGGAGAAACCGAAGCAACCACCAAGACTCGCGGCGGGCCGCCGCTCTCGCCGTTCAAGTAGCCCGCGACTATTGAATCAGCCAATCAGAGGGAGCGGCGACGCGCGGCGTCACGCGGCCTACGGGCAGCGGCAGGAGCCAACCCGGGCGGGGCGAGCGGGCAGTGCCTGAGGAGAAGGGGCGGGGCCTGGCGGGCGGGAGGGCTCGGGGGTGGGGCAGGGGCAGGGACAGGCCGGCGGGAGCGCGCGTCGTCTCCAGTGATGGCTTCGCTGTGCTCGGGGTGACCGGTGAGCAGCGCTCTATGGGCACAGCCGGCTCAGCGCTCCCAACCGTGAGGGATATCGAGGGACAAGCAAGGCGGGGGTTTGAAATTAAGAACAAAGACATGGGAGAAGCACGGAGAAAGTTTAATGCCAGCCACGCTCCAACCAGGAGTGAATGTGCAGCTCCAATAGCAGCTGCCTTGACCCTAAAATAGGGAGTTTCCCCCTTCTTCATGCACCCCAGTGACATCAGGTTTGACAAGACGGATACCCGCAGCAGGCAAATACCATAGTTAGGTACAGGTTAACAGATTTCTTCTACCTCCAGTTAGGTCTGTGAAAAACAGTTTCTCCAGACGTTCTTACAGGTGGAAAACGTTTTTGCAAGCAGGAAATGGGGTATTTATACCTGATTCTAGGTTTTCTTTAGCTCTCAAGAACATTGTGGGTGTAGAAACTCTGCATGCACTTAAGAGCTGATATAAACTAAAGGTGACTACTGCATTCAGTATGATAATAAATACAAATAAAGCTGAAGTACAACATAGTGTTTTTCTTAAAAAGTGCTTTTGGACTGAATACTGAACTGCCTTGAGTAAAATGAAAAAAAAAAACAGAAAATTTACCCAACTTTTCCCTTATCAGGCTGCAGCGTCAAAAAAAGCAATTAGTCCATCTTGGTCACAGCCATCCAGAGTTTCCAGGAGAAGAGGAACTTTGCTTTTCACATTGGTGCCTTTAAATTTAAATTTATCTATGAAGAGATCCGTGATCATACCTGCAAATGTAAAATTGGAGGAGTATTATTTGCCTTGTTTTCTCTAGCTGAGGTATCTCTAAGTCACTATTATGTACCAACTATTCTAATATAATTTGGGTTTAAAGACGAGACTCTTTTCAAACCTCATGTTTTAAACCATGATTTACTTATAAATAGACCCAAAACAGTTATAACACCACAGATTCCAGCTTCATTCCAAAGCATGTATTTCTGACTTAGAATTACCCACATCTGAAACATAAAAGAGTGAGGAACTATCATGGGATGGGTAAAGGGGACTCTGCTTATGCTGTATATACTTAGGCTTATTACACCTGGCACCTGGCAGAGAATCTCTGAGCTGAGAGGTGTCTGGGGAGCACCAGAGAAGGTTACAGAATTTCCTTCACTAACTTGGATCATTTTCCACGTCTCCCTTCCCGCCCCATGTTTAATTTTCTGTTTTTATGATGTTTTGCAAAACTTAACCAGTCATTTAGCTCATACACATTCTTAAATGCCATTGTGAATTTTAATATTATCCTTAATCATGTCCATAAAGACATGGAACATAAGATACATGACAAGGATAAAATAAGCTGTCTGTTAAGAAAAGCCACTTGCAAATAATCCTGGTATCTTCATTCTCAGTAATATGCTTGCGATGCCCAAAAATTCTTGGGCGAACAATTCTTGAGTACCTTTAGAGAGTTACTCAAAGTTTGTAGTAGCATACAAGCTATTTCCAGTATGTGCTAGGCTTTTTTACTGCCTTACGTTTAACTTCAGATTTTTCTGATCAAAACCAGGATGTAAATACGCAGTCTTGCCTGTATGACCAAACAGACAGTCCTGAACCTAACCAAGCGTATGCACTTATCAAATTATTTCAACTCTACTAATTCTTACTTCGTAACAATTGCAGTCACATCGAGTGTGCTCTCTGGAAATTAAGTTACATTTAAATAAAAAGTTGAATTGATCAACAAACCATAAAGTCTCTCAAGATGTGCAGGTTGTCTCTTGTATTCCTCGAGCAGCTGATCTGCCTCTTCCAAAATGCTGCGGTATTTTGGTAGCAGGAAGTCCACATTTCCTTCATGAACTTGTAATTCCTCAAAGACATTATAAATCATTAAGAATTAACAGCATTTAATTATCATAAGAGCATAAAAGTATGAAGACAGGAGTCTGACAGGAGGAAGTGCCAACCGTATCCTGGGTTGCATCAAAAGGAGCGTGACCAGCAGGTCAGAGGAGGTGATCCTGCCCCTTTATTCTGCTCTCGTGAGACCTCACTTGGAGTACTGTGTGCAGTTCTGGTGTCCTCAACATAAAAAGGACATGGAACTGTTGGAACAAGCCCAGAGGAGGGCCACGAGAATGATCAGGGGACTGGAGCACCTCCCATATGAAGACAGGCTGAGAAAGTTGGGGCTGTTCAGCCTGGAGAAGAGAAGGCTGCGTGGAGACCTCATAGCAGCCTTCCAGTATCTGAAGGGGGCCTATAGGGATGTTGGGGAGGGACTCTTCATTAGGAACTGTAGTGGTAGGACAAGAGGTAATGGGTTAAAACTTAAAAGGGGAAGTTTAGATTGGATATAAGGAGGAAATTCTTTTCTGTTAGGATAGTGAGGCACTGGAATGGGTTGTCCAGGGAGGTTGTGAATGCTTCATCCCTGGCAGTGTTCAAGGCTAGGTTGGACAAGGCCTTGGGTAATATGGTTTAGAGTGAGGTGTCCCTGCCCATGGTAGGGGGGTTGGAACTTGATGATCTTAAGGTCCTTTCCAACCCTAACTATTCTATGATTCTATGATTCTAAGTACTTCAGAGACAGTCGTCTTCCAAACTAGTAGGAGTTACTTTCGAAGTGCTTAGTTTTCTAGTCTTATAATGAAATGCCAGATGTCACCTGTCACTTCCTAGACTGGATTCTCAAAATCCTGTGTATTACAGCCTCCAACTACAAGTACTGCCAGAACAGGATCGCACCACTGCCCAGCACCTACAGGATCAAGCCCAGTGGAGGCTCAAAGCCTTCATCATGTCTTCATTTCTAGAGTAAGTAAATGCCTAAAAAGTGTAGTACATGCTGAAGTCTGAGAGTAAATCTGAAAGCATCACTCAAATTGTGACAGCAAAAAGTTTTAAAGACCTCTTCTAAATGCCCCAGTTTACCATCAGACCAATCTAAGATGATCAATACTACAGATCTTTTTATTCTCCACAGAAAGACTGTTCTTTTCCAGACAAAAGGTAATTATGCTGTGCATCATGAGTCTGCTAGGATAATAGCTTTCATCAATCATCAGATTATTTTACTGCCTATCAATAAGTTATTATGCAAAAAAAAAAAGAGCAACAAGACTTAAAAAAAAAACCTAACGAATAAAAAACCCCAAGAAAGAGTTATCAAAGAAGATCTGCTAAGAGAAGAAAAAGCTTAAAAGCAAGATGTGCATCATCATTATCACTGCACAAACATAATGTGCATTAAGAATAAATTCTCTATTATTCTCTACTGCCTGGTTTGTCACATCAAACCTGATTAAAGTAAAATACTCTTAGTGGTAATAAAGGTACACACTATTCTCACTGATAGTCAGTTTTTCTACTAACTGAAGAGCTTTGGCAACTAGTATTTGATTCCCCCAAAGGGCCAGAGAGAATCGGTTGCCTGTTTTCATCTCCACTCTCCCTCAAAAACCACAAAAAAAATACCAACAGAGATGACAGCAAGTCTTTGAGAGTAAAATCCTGTTTGCTGGATTTCCAGTTGTTGGAAAAAGTCCAAGAGACAAGCTGCCTAACTGGTACCTTCCAAAGACAAACTGTTGAGCAGGAGGTATTAAGCAAAAGATTTAAAAGCAGATCATTCAGAAATTAGGACACACTGGGATAAAGTTCCAAAGAGAGGGAGCTGCATCTGGCCTGGATGTTCATTCCCAGATCTAAAAAAAAAACCTTCAAAGGTTAGTGGAAAGAGACAAAGGAACTGGAAAATAACAGCAGGCAAAGGAGAATGTTAGGTGATAAAGCTGTCTGCCTTCTACTGTCCAGTTTAAGCATCCTCAACATCAATCAGTAATCCTACACATTATTCACTAGCTGCATAGTATAAATGGGACTTCTCCTTGAAGAAGTCTGTCTCCTAGATAATTAAAATACATATCCTGGGAACAGAAACTGAATGGAAACCAGAATGACACACATCTGACTTGAGCTGTACAGCTTGGTATCTGACAACATAATTCCCCCTAAAAAATCCTTCCTGCAGGAGTTCAGATACTTACTCTCAAAGCATCTATTAAGTGCACCTTCTTGGCCAACAGTTGCTGATATTCTAATTTTGGGTGGATAAGCTTTAATGTGTGCCTCACAGAATCTTCATTTATGTCTGTCAGGGAGTGAAAAAAAACCAACAAGCAAATAAATATCAAATATTCCATGTATAAGAATATAAAATTGAAGTCAAGTACAACAAAATAGGAAAGAAAGTTTTACCATATGATATGTTGAGATTAATCTTCCTTTTTGTAGCCTCCTTGGAAAGCACATCTTTTAGGATGGATATGGTAGAAATGTTGTCAGACTTAAAACATCCCTCACCTTTTCTATAAGGGAAGAAAAAAATTAAATGAACAAACTTAAACACACATGGGTGCAGTAGATTTGTCCCTGTGTTAAAATAGGAGGCCTGGAAATCAATGTCCCTATCAAAGTAAGCAACCTCTATAAAGGTTATAATGATTCTCCATGTATCATGCAGCTGTATACACATCTATGCTATTCCGTCCTTCCCAGGGTAATCTTCACAGAGAACACTTTGTTCCATAAATAAAGCAGTATGCACAGATCTCAGGTATACACAAAGCAGTTATCTTCATTGTATGGCACTAAGTTTACACAAGTAAGATTTCTGACTGTATTTATTCCTCCTAAGTTTTATCATTGCCATA